CTAATGATGTCTGCACTCTGCACTGTTTCACCTGTCCTCGCGATTCTCCTCCTCGCAGCTCTTTCGCGAAAAAAAAGCGAGACATTTCTGCAAAAAAAAAACATACACGCTGGGATGTAACGTTAATTTAGGGAAACTTTTCAAGAAGCTGGGTGTGCTTGGATGTTAAAGACATAATATTCGTCTCTAGGGTTGCCACCTTTTATGTGAAAAAAGGAGGCAACTGGTTTGGTTTTACTTGACATTACATTATTCACAGCACTTTGAAGACATGACATGAACGAAAACAAGTACTAGAATCATTTTATTTTCAAATATAGGACGATCTCGTACTATATGGGGTGGGTGGCAACCCTATTCACCTGTTTGAAAAGCCGCAAAATCAGGTTCCCGCCATCCTCAGGCAGCAAATCCAGCGTGTTCGTATTCTTCTTCTTTGGCAATTCCGGATGGCTCTGCCTGATGCACAGATTACGATACAGCACCACTACATTGCTGTAGTGGCGTACAGCCGCAATTGCAGTTACAAATGTCAAATCCACCAAGTACTGAGAAAACAAATACTAAAATTTTGTGGGCAGGCAGGTGTGGCATGAAATTTAACGGAGGTGGTCGCCTCCCAATTCTCTATACAGGAAAAACCTTGTTTGTTTGTTTTTGTCTGAATTTGCTTAAACCCCCATCAGTCTGCAAACATCCTCTTTCCTTCTGTTGTGTTCTGTGGGAATTGGTTTATTTGTGCCACTTCCCTTTTTTTTTTTGATGGCTTCCTCAAAATAAATATTTTGTCAATAATATATATCTAAGAGCTAAAAATAGCCCCCATTGTTGTTGTGGTTCTATTTTTAGCTCAGTGAACAGCGGCAGCGTGACTTGTTTGCTCTTGCATCACACCTGCGGAATTTCTCATTCACAGGAGGATGTGTACCTTTTATGCACTTGCATTGTGTATGTACTCACTAAAGGATGTTTATTCACGTTTCCATTTTTAGATTTATGTTTGATCCTTACAGTTTGAGCAGCACATTGTTCAAAGGCAGTTTCTATTGTAATATTACATCAAAGCATTCTTCTTCTTCTCCTTTGCTCTCACCAGGCAGTAACGGATACAGAGATAGAACACCTTTAAGCATTCATTCAAAGGTTCCGGGACACAGGACCGTTTACACTGGGAATATCCACTCATCATGTTAATTTCCTCAACAAATATTTAGATACACGCGTAAAGATAAACCTAAATCTTATTTTGCAGAAATAAACAGTATCCAATCGTCCATTGCAAATAAAGTCCCACATACAGTGGGCCATAAAGACCACTTTCCCATAAACGTCTGTGATGGATGATGTCATAAGGTTATTACTGTGAATCCTTTGCTTTAGGGTCGACTGAAATAATGATACCATGATTTAAGATAGAGCTAAGATTGAAACTGTCTGTTAATCAGTTGATAGAAATTTAATTGATTTTGATAATTGTTAATACGATAAATAGTTTGTCTTTTCTTTTTTTTCATTTTACAACTAGTTCCAAATAATTTGAAGTTGTGACCTTGTGCTCTGGGGAGCCCAATATTTCTTGTTATTTTATAAACCAAACAATTCATCGCTAGATTTAGAAAATAATTGGCTGATTAAGTGATAATACAAAATCATTTACTTTTTTCAATTTCATTAATCCATTTCACAGAGCCAAACCAATGACTTGTGAAAGCAGGAAGTTACCAGGGGCATGTGTGACGACCCCAATCCAGAGCTAGGACCAAACCCAAAACCTCTGAAGCCTCTGTTCATCTGAGTTACCGCAGCCTTCCTGTGAACCAGTAAAACCAGCTTGAATCAGTCATGTCATGCTCCACTGTCCTCTCTTACAAACAAGGCGTTTCTGCTCACTCTGACCAGTTTTCTGACATGTTTTGACCAGTATGAGCTCACCATCTGGATGTGTGAATGCACTTATGCTGTCAAAACAGCAGGCGTGAGTATGTAAATACGCGACCTGAGACACAGCATTGGTGATACAGGTCCATATGAGATAAGACCCGTATTCTTGATGTTTGGAAAATTCAATAGGACGATGACGACCATGTGACCACAACAGTAGTTATCACTTGATGATTTTGCAGAAGATTGATTAATAAAGTATATCAGAGATACATTAATATTGCGAAATATGTGAAAGTACATTTACTGTGATAGGGCTTTGTATCCACATCACCCATTCCTGCTTTGGAGTTCTAATGTTGGAAAAACACCTCAGATATCTTCCAATATGTTGAGCATCATCACACAAAACCTGTGGAAAACTGCAAGCTGGAAAATTCCCAAAGCATCTGGTGGCTTTATAGATGAAGGTCAACTACTTGCTTCTACCAAGTCGCACATTGAACTGAAGTGATGGTTTTTTTTTTTGACTGAGCAATCTTTTTGGAAGCAGCAAACGTGCATATTTTGAATTTTATGGAATAATGGTGAAACAAATGCTGGATAAGAGCCATTCACTATGTAGACAGTGTCATGTAAAGATAAAAAAAAAAAAAAATCCTTGATAAGGCTAACATGTAAAATTGCATCACACCTCCAGCCACAATAGGAGAAAAAACAAGCTGATGTTGATGCCAAACAGAAAAACCTCAAGTGTTCTTTCTCATGTGAAGTATTCACAGTAAGTTTATTTTGAGTGTAAAATAAATAATAGTTTCAGTTGCAGGTGGTGCTCGCTGAGAGAAGATAATAACACTATCAATATATAAAACAAAAATATATGTTCAAATAACAAATATGATTTTTATTGACTATATGACTTTTATTTTATTCACAGGAAGTAAATACACTGCATTCAGAAGTTATTCAGACGCCTTCACTTTTTGTCTTGTTGCAGTCTTATGCTAAAATCATTTGAATTAATTTCTCTCTCTCATCAGTCTGCAGTCAATACCCCATAATGATAAAGCCAAAACAGAATTTAAGAAACTGAAATATCACATTATCCTTTACTCAGTACTTAGTCAGAGTACCTGTGGCAGTGATTATAGCCTCGAGGTGATGAGCAGTGCCTGGCTTCCTCCAGACATGACACTCAGAACTGAGGTCAGACAGTTCAGTCTTGGTTTCATCAGACAAGAGAAGCTGTTTCTCAGAGTTTGAGAGAGGAGCACTTTAATGTGTCTTTCACTGAGGAGAGGCTTCCATCTGGCCACTCTATCATAAAGCCCAGATCAGTGGAGTGCTGCAGAATTTAAATGATTTCGCTGCAACATAACAAAATGTGAAAATACTTTCTGAATGCACTGGAAGAAACAAAAACCAGTGGCAATTATAAAATTCTATTATAGAAGAGTGGAAATAAATAGGTTTTCAGTCTTGATTTTTCTGACAGTTCTTCGATAATTATCCAGTGGAGTGAGGACATAATTTGCATTACGTTCACATTTTGTGGTTCTAGTAAAGACTTGTAGCAGCTGCATTTAAGACCAGTTGGAGTTTTTTTTATTTTTATTCCATGGAGTGGAAGACCAGAGAGCATGTTACAGAAATCCAGTCTAGATAAAAAATTTCTGCATCTGACTGTTAGAAAGAAATGGGTGAACTTGGGCAATATGACAGAGGTGGAACAAAGCAGCATTAATGATGTTATTGATGTTAACTATTGAATTTAAAGTAAAACTGCTACCATCAAAATTTTGGTGTGGATCTGGTTAAATGTGCGAATCCAGGGATTTTATGACATTTTTGTTAATTTCTCAGGAAATAATGTTTGGATCTTGACCAGACATATTTATGGTGTTGTCATCTATAAGTTTCTACAGCTTGGTGCAGATCAAGATAATAATCCAGATATGGTGGAGAGTTGTACTTAATATTGATATTAAGTAACAGTAGCATCAGTATTTTAGTCAACATACAACTAATAAAATTACACAATAACATCAGTGGTTACGACTTTGCAATGAGATGATGCTGATTTCATCATTTCACACCGTGCGTAATGAAACCACAAGACATAGGTCTCTGCTTGAGAATGAAGACGTGTGTAGGCTTGTCTGGCTTTGATGGTGGTCATTCTAGTTATTGAAATATTGTAATCATGGCACCACCCATGAAATTAAGAGCCACTAAGAAATTCCCTGCTGAAATATTCATCATTAATATGTTTGAGTTTCGGCGTAGTTTCACCTCAGCCATTCTTTCAGATAATAAGTTAAATCGGACATCACTTATGAGGAAATTATGTCATTGCAGCTCCATATATGTTCATCAAGATTAAGTTTCAGTGAAGCAAGTTGATGAGTCAAATACTACTCTGTCACTCTGACACAGCCTGTAAACACAGTGAGAGCGTCTTTATCTGCCAAGCTGTCCCTCCATTGTGTGAAAATACTGGTATGGCAAGGGGGGACACCCTGGATAGGTCACCAGTCAATCACAGGGCTAGCATATAGAGACAAACAAGCATTCACGCTCACATCCACACCTACGGGCAATTTAGAGTCGCCAATTAATCTGTGTATTTTTGGATTATGGGAGGACGCTGGCGGAAACCCGCACAGGCACGGTGTAGAACATGCAAACTCCACACAGAAAAGGCCCGGGCTGAACTTCAGCGATTCACCAACATTTCTGATTTCCAATATATGGATGAATTTGTCCACATGTCCTCTGTGTGATGTGTGAGGGAGAATGTTTACTCGACTGGGCCTACATTTTGGCGTAGCATATACATCTTAGTTTATCAGGGTTTGTTTAAGCGTAGACGTAACATAAGCGTTTTAATAAATGAGAGCAAAAGAAGAACAAGAAAGAAGAAAAACAGGAACAGCAAAAACAATGGGCCTACCGACACAAAAAAAAAAGTGACAAAGGATCTTATAAAGTGTTTGCAATATTTAAAACAGCACAAAGATGCTCAGGTATCAATTTTACCTAAATGAGTAGATATAAGAATGATTTTTACACTGCCACTTGTCACAACAAGCCATTAATCATCTTTTCACTCTTCCCAGCAGGCCGATGGAGCCTCCCTCAAAGAAGGAGGTTGTTCCTTTAATGAGGCGACCAGATGAGTGGAAGGACCCATGGCGTCGGTCCAAATCGCCAAGGAGACGTCCTGGGTTGGGCTCTCCACCACGAGGCCGCCGGAGACATCGGCCCTCAGGCTCCTCCGTCTCTCTGTCCAATTCCTCCAGGTAGGAACTCCTCCTTCAAGTTCTGATTCCCTGTGCCATCCTGACGGCGAAAAATGACTCATGTTTTCAAAAACAAGCAGTATTCACATTATCCTGATGATTAACTCTCTGTGGTCACATTTAACTAATTTATAAGACACACAAAATACATTGGGATGCATAACATTAGATGGAAACAGAAGTATAGTTTGTTGACAAGAGAACTCCACCACAGCTATAATTATATAATCCTTTGTAGATGGAAGAACTCTATGCTCACTCTATTGTAAATTTATTGTAAATCCAGCAAATTGGAAACGGTCTAGACATTCTATTGTATTGTTACTTGAATAATTTAATAATAAAATGAGTAAATACAGAGTTGTTTTATTCCCCACAGGACTGCGTCACTTGTGGTTGAGAGTTGGAAGAAATTTTTGCAATAGATTTTTGCATCTAAAAAAGAAATGAAACCATGAAGGGTTTTTTTTTTTATTTTTTTATAATTGATGCTAAATTAGTAGCCACCTGAGTTTCGGTCATAAATCGGATTTGAAACTAGAGTGAGATGAAAGATAAGAATAAAGTTTCTGTACAGTGATATTTATACAGCATAAAGAACAACAATCACAGCCTTGCCTCTTGATACTAGTACTCATGGTGCTGCTCCAACCTCATTTAAAGAATCTGACAAGAGTCCGTGTCACTTTAAGAACTAGACTGTGGCATTCTCATCGTGGGTGTTTCCAAGGAGCTATTTGTTCAGTTTTCCTATTGCTAACATAGCTAACATTAGCGTTAACAGCTGTTTACTTACCGGTCTAGAAGAAACGTTGAGTTCTTGTACTGCGTCCTGTCCTGGTTTCTCTCCATGCCATGGAGGTGAGGGAGAGAGAGGAAGAGGGGTGAGAGGTCAGTTGGCTGGATGCAGGGGAAGGGAATCTTAGCCTTCATACCCACTACATTTGTGACACAGTTTTCCATTTATGTGTGATGACAGACAGAAGACATTAGAAAGCTCATTATTCAACTGTTTCCACAGACTGTGTAGTACCTCTTCTGACAAGTAAACTGATTTGTACCCCGGTCATTAATCTACATTATTGATATATACATATTGGATCCTCTTTCATAGAAATATTATATCCCTCTCCTGGTCCAGACGTCTTTGGTTGGTTTTCATTTGCCATTCATTAATCTTACGTACGTGTGTTTGTGTGTGTTTTGCAGGTCTTCATCTCGCTCTTCATCCTACACAGGCTCCGGGTCGTCTCGTTCTCGCAGCCGCTCCTCTTCGTTCAGCTCCTACTCCAGCCACTCCTCCCAGCGCAGCTCCTTCAGTGGCAGCCGCTCCAGGTACACAAACCGTGTGTGTCTGTGTGCATCTCCATACACCTAGCTGTTGAATTTGCATCACTGCAAATAAATACAGTTATATAGTCTTTCCTCTACCTCCCTTCAATCTGAGGACATGTTTATACAGTCTGTTCAGTTCTTCTTCTGAACAGTATCAAACATGTTTTTAGCCACTACAAAGCTGTTTCTACCTCCTGTGGGAAACATACGTACATTGTGAAAGCTAGAAGTTAAATGATCTGTTTTAACAGGAAAGGTTATTATACGTCCTCTTAACAACCTCCTCAGTGATATAGGGAGTAGTGCTCTACAGGTTTTGGAAATAATTGCATTTAATCTTTAATGGCATTATGCGAGTAAGCACCGACTAGTTTGACAGTTTGGAATATTTGCTGCTTCGGTTTCTTGACAAAAAGTTCACCGAGAAGATTGAGTTTAATGGAGGCTAAATACTGGAACTTTTTCTTAGCATTAAGTCTGCAAGAAACTATCACATTAATTCTACAATTGTCCTTTATCCACCAGAACTGCAGAGAGAACCATCTCTTTGTTTGAAACAGGCACATATGAGAGACAGGCATGATACAAGTATATTTTATCATATTTTAGTATGAAGCTTCCCTGCTTCCCAACCTCCTCATCTAATTATTGGTAATAACACAAATATACAGCGGCCCAGACGGGGCAACACAATGCAGAAGTCACAACACAAATACAAAAGCAACAACATGAATGCAAATTAAGCCACAACGGAAGTTAAGACACAATGGAGCAGAGCAACGGTCCGTCTGTACTAATACTATAACAATAAATATGAAAATGAAAACAGTATGACAAAAGTACATAAATATGAAAATATAAATAGGTTGAAAAACATTTCTCATTTGTGAAAGCTTAGCGACATTAATCAGTTACCTAGCAACAATGTTTTGCTTAGTTGTCAAACTGCTTCAGAAACTTTCCAGGTCAAAATAATACCATCAACCTAGAGTGCCGTGGTAGCCAAGTGGTTAGAGTGCATAGTATTTTCTGAGCAGTGACTCTGTGGTTTGACTCCCGGCCGGCCGGACTTCTTGCTGCATGTCTTTCCTCTTCTCTCTGTCCCTGTATTTCCTTTCTACACTGTCCTGTCAAATAAAAGCATAAAATGCCTGACCTGGAACAATTTGGGATTTGGGTATTTTATGCTTTTATTTGACAGGACAGGCTTTTGCATTCGTATTGTAGCTTTTGGTTTGTGTTGACCCATCTGGGCCACTGTACAAACAAGAGTATTTTCAAATTTTCAAAACTATTTCATAAAGTTACTCTCAATAAAACCCCACACTTGCTGCAGAAGTTTCATTATCAGTAACTTAACAGAACATGAAAAACTACATACAAGTTGAAATGATTGGACACAGTCAGTGAATGTAAGCTGTGTTTGTGTGGCATAGAAACACAGAGCAACAGCGGTGGTGTGACTTGTCTCATGACATGACTGTGTTGCACTGATGGAATCAGTGCTGTGGAACTAGACATTGTACTGAATCTACCATGTTCTTGTAGAGCAGGTAATTACTACTCCTCAGTGTTTTTGACCCGCCTTTATCAGCAGCTGGCCTTTATTTGTTAGTGTAATGCTGATAATAATAAAGCCTAATAATACTATGTCTGATTATTTTGACATTGATTGTTCAGCTACAGTATGTTATATGTAAACGGAAGGACACGTAAATAACGTTCACATTAACTGACATAAAAACAAATCTGCCACACTGTCACTGTGTAAATGTTACCTGGGAATTTGACAACAAAGCCAAACAATGGTTTCAACCTGCTGAACTATGAGAAGCTGATATGACAGGGTTATTTATGGAAAAAGAAAAAATTGTTGTTACTGAAAGCGAGTAGTTCAGGCGAAGGTCCGCGCCGGGTAAGTGCTAGAGGCAGAATAGAAATGTCATCAATGCGCCCACTCGCTCGTTCACATGTCAGCTCAGTCAGACATTACACGCACTTTGTACTGGGAGCTGGCAGGGTAAAGTCCATTTAACATCCGGTCCCACTGATTCAGACATTTGCATTCTCACATACAGCTCTTCCGGGTAATGTCTACATAAGTTCAGGGTTGCAATGTATGAAAACAACTATATGAGGTGAACATAGTGGCGCATTCAGCAGCTAAAGAGCCAGATATTTCTCTAATGAGATGGTAGAAGGCAAAAACTGGGCTAAAAGAAAGTGAATATTGGATGTGGAAATAAGCAGCTCTTTGCTAACAAAACAGTTATGCACTTATTTAGATTTCACATGAACTTCAATGATGATAACATCATTTCTGAGATCTGTAATCATAGAGTCTTGGAAATACACTTTGAAGAAAACAAAATCTACCTGCAAAAACATTCAACTGGACAGTTTTTTCAGGCAGCATTTACTTTGCTTACACTTGAAACACATCGAAGCACAATTCTTGAACTTTTCTGAATGACACAAAGCAACATTATAAAACCATAGAATACTTGTGTGATGTGATCTAATCTTAAAATTAAACTGCATGATGACACTTTCATGACAACTTTACTGTTGATTTCTAGGTCTCGGTCATTCTCCACATCTCCCTCTTCGAGCCCAACGGCACTGAGGAATGCAAAGAACAAACCAGAACTTTCTCCTATGTTAGCTAAAGGGTAAATCTTAATCACTTGCACCAGTTTAAATCATCAATCAATTATCCAGCATCATATTGCATCATGCCTGTTTACTGATTATTATTTATTGATCATTAGCTAGAGCATTCTTTCTGTCACTGTCTACACGCTTGAAAAACAATGAGTGTCTTTTCCCTCTCTAAGAGTACCGCTGAAGCCGGGTGCCATGCCTCCCCCACGCAGGGACAAGCCTCCCATGAAGAAAGCTCCCAGTCCTCCTCCACCTGGTGGACCGCAGGGCAGGCCTTCCAAACCCATGCTAGAGGGAGGGAAGCCTCCCACCAATCCCCGGGAGGCTGGAGGCGCGGGTGGCGGGGCTAGTGGTAGTGGAGCGGGAAGACCCCCGCCACCACGAGAACCTGGAAAGCCTCCCAACCCGAGGGAGGGAAGGCGGAAAGAACGACAGCAGCATCCTCCTCGGAGGTAGGTGTCTCACCTTCAAGCTCCTGGTTCATTTTGTGGCAATAGGACTAGTGCTGTTAAAAAAAAAACTCATAATGCATTGATACATACATTTTGTATTATCCGCTACTAGGTCAGACTTCACTGAAAATTTTATTTCAGATTAGATTTTTGCAGTGCCCTTTTTACTTATTCGACTTCTTCATCTTCCGTAACGAAATTTTGGCACGTAACCAGTCATGCCGCTTTGAGAAAACCCAGACAATATATACATATATATCGATACATGCAGCTTGATCGGGAATGGTGTGCTATGACTTTTCTTAGTGATTTGAGTAACAATGGCGACGTTAATGGAGATAAAAGGCAAAAAAAATTCTCATAGAGAATGAATGGGGAGACGACCAAACCCACACCTCTTTGGAGCTCTACCGCTGCATCAGAAATGGTGGAACAATAAACAGGACACAAGACTTGAGACTCTTATGGGTTAAATTGATATTTTGAGGACTATTACGATTTTCACAAAATTAAATAAACACAGTTTACGTTTTGGGTAATTTTTAGAAACCAAAAAACAGAGTTAAGGGGACTTTGTAAACTGCGATAAAAGCTCAAGTGTAAACTGTTAGGATCCAATTTTTGAACACAACTTTAATCTTAAAGGCTGATTAGGGAGACGGAGGGGGTTGTGTATGTGTATGATTGTGTACACACACATACATTGAAAGACAAACTCCATCACCACCATATGGATATTAACTGTATAAGTGTCTCAACTAGGGCTGGGCAATAAAACGATAGCAATAATTAAATTTTTAAATTAAATAATTTACCTCGATAGAAACATAAAAAATGTTCGATAAATGTTCGATATTATTAATGCTTATAGCACACCCACAAATGAATCATGAACGGCCAATCATGTCGCAGGAATAGAGGTCTGCATTGCACAAGTTAGGATGCACGGTGAGAGGTGTAAATACAGGCCAGCACGTGATATTATTTTCAGACGCACGCAGAGGATGACGGGCTGTTTCATCACTTGAAACAATATCAGCTGTTCGAACACACAGAAAGTAAGAAATTACAGGGCCAAACGAGTGTTAACGCACCCTCGACGAGCCCCAGGCCTGTACCCTGTGCAAATCTTCTTTTTATTTTTTTATTTATTTTGCAGCTGATCATGTTTCATGTGTGTTGTATCACACCGCAGAACTTAATTTTCTATTCACTTTGTTGAGTAAAAAGGACTGAAAATGATTTTGATTTTAATCAGGCATATTTTATCAAATTCTGAATGTTTGTACCTCAGAGTTTTTAATGTTCTGCTGTTTGGCACGTGTTTGTCATGTTCTGACTAAACAGAACAGTTTAAAACTACAATTGACTGTCTGATTCTTCAACTTTCACCTCAACTGCCATTCATACAGGCACAAGACTCTGTAAGAGGCCACTTCCATAGGTCACCTGGAGAGGCGTTAATATGATGAACGTTGACACTGCTTCTTGGTTGAATTTGCGCTCGGTTTTTTGGTCATAGGTTCAAATGTGCACATGAATGGTTGTTTGTCTTTATATGTCAGCCCTTTGATAGACTGGTGACCTGTCCAGCGTGAACCCGGCCCTCACGCGATGTCAGTCTCATGCCAAGTGTAAAAAGTACAACTGGAGAAAAGAAGGGAAGCAGTAGGACCAGTGTTTATGAATCAGTCTTCAAATTTTACATTTAAAAGAAATATTGACATAATTGGATACAAGCTATTTAACCAGTTGATCTGGTTGTTTTGTTTGTTTTGTTAGAAGCATATTTTGCATCATTTTCTTTTTATAGACCAGTGTGGGGATGGGTGTCGTTAAGATTTTAATGGTACTACTACTTTTATCGATGCTGCTTACCGATCCGGTACTTAAACAGCACTCTTATCAGTGCTTTTTGTTATTTTGTAAGGAAAAAAAAATTAAGAACAGAATTAACATTGCTTTATTTTTTCATATGTACTCAATTAACATTCTTGAGTAGCAAACTTCAACAGCACTGAATCAATCACTATTATAGACTGATTTTGTAATAATGGAAATGTAATACACAGTGATTTACTACAGGACTTTTCCTTTGACAGTATTTCTGCTGTGCAGTAGTTTGACCGGCAGCCCGCTCATCAGTAAACCCTGAGTTTCACTGGAAATTTCCGCCCTTGCGTAAAAAAAAAACACACATTTGAAAGTTTATTTCTCTCCATTGTTGGAGAGAGATCGAGAGGAAATCTATTTTCCTAATTTCTCCAGCACCGAGAGTATAACCGATAACATCAAAGCTTATCGATGCTACGGCCTTTGAAAATGTAGCCGCAGAGCCCGTTTAATACCGGGTTTCGGTACCCATCCCGACCATTGTGTACTGTGTATACATGTTTTTTGTTTCTATCTAAATTAGCCCTAAAAAAAATGCTTTTTTATCTACACAAAATAAGATTATTTGCTCATCTTTTGGGTTTCGGGTGTGTACATTTGAGTGGGAGAATGTGGCCTGCCTCTGGTTTGTTTACCCAGTTTGTATTTGCAAGAAAATATGCCAACAGTGGATGAAGTAATAAAATTGCATCAGGCAGAGCAAATGTGTTTCCAAACACATTTACATAATTGTGAGTTTGTGTGTGGCACGAGTGATACTGCAGGTGTATCCCCCAGCTGTGCTTTTAGTTGGAAAGACCATTGGTATTGTGTGTGTGGGCGAGGTAGTGGGTGGATGGCTTGAGGAAACACTCCACTGAGTCGGTGAGTTTTGTGCAAATTGTTTGTGTGCATGTGTGTGTGTGTGTGTGTGACAGAGAGCAACATCAGCCAGAGAGGAAGGACAGTTAAAGGGCAGGGAATAACAGTGAGAGTTTGTGAGACTCCTTTCATCTGTGTGTGTAGGTGTAAGTGTGGGCAGCATGGAAAATATCCAGGAAAACCAGTTCCAACACCTGTTTATTCTGTTGGTAAACTACTTTCTCAGACTCTAGATTAGATACTAGATACTACCTGGGGGCAGCAGGATGGAGTAACATTTTGATTATGTTTGAGGAGATAGCTGCAGTGTCTTTGTTTGTTGTTCCATTAAGACGTGGAATGACCATGGCCAAGCACTCCCATACTTAAGTTGGGTGTGTGGCTGCGTGCTGGTTGGCTAGTCAATAGCGTGGTTAAAGAATGATAAAGATGTAAGGACAGGTGTCCCGTGTGGTGCAATAAAATTAAAATGCCAGGCAAGTACACTTTGTACATTCACACAGTACTGAGAGCAGATCAGTCTAATGAGCCAAACCAAAAGCACACACAGTGAAGATGGTATAGGCATTATTCATGTGTCACAATTAGAAAACCACAAGCATAACTAAATGATTCGATTTAGTTCCTTCAGTCTCAATATCTTAAACAGTGGTACGCGTGACTTGAACACTTGAATAGAACTGAGCCATTGTTGACATTACTTACACCTGTGCTTTTTCTTATAAGGACAAGTTAAAATATCAGCTGTTAAAAAAAAAAAGTTCTTCTCCAACGTAGCCTCATCTGACGTTAAAATAAGCCAAATTGTGAGTGTCTGTATTAATGTCCCAGTACTGTGACAGATTAAAATACAAAGTCTGACACTGGAAATGTAGAGGATGAAATTTGCTGTTGGTTTCTGTCTTCTGTAATAAAGATATGATGCAGGAGTAAAAGCAACCAGAAAATAAACTATGTTCATGCTCTACTCACATATTATAAAACTCATCAGATTTGAAATGTGGATCGTGTCAGAATCGTGTAAACAGATATGAACAACCAGGTGTCTCTAAGTTCCCTGCAGAAGTCATATCCCAAATACGATATGATCAAAACCAGGATATGTTTTATAAAGGGATACTGGAGCGCCTGTAAACTTACTCACTGACCTGATAGGAAGGCCTGTCATTGTAACACGGTGTTGATATGAAAAGACCATTCAGTTTGTTGTTTTGTCTCTCTCAAACCTCGGTATATCATGTTGGGGAGCACTTTCTGTCATGACCAATCACAGACATTTCCCACTATTAAGTTTTATTTGGCCGCAGTTTCAGCCTTCCATGTGGGTTATGTTGAAATGCCATTTGGCCAGCATTCCCTGATAAGGAGGTTTATGGAGGCAGCCCACGTGGCTCTGGCCTGCATGTAAACCCACAGTTGACCACTGTTTATAGCCAGTCTCAGGTTTCCTTTTGAGCAATTGGAGTAGGGCTGTGTATTGGTAAGGATCTGGTGATACAATATGTATCATGATACATGTAACATCCAACATCATAGCATCATGCCACATCAAAACTACTGTTTGTGCTGTCTGAGCAAAGGAGTTATTATTACAATTCTTATTAATGCTACATCATTAAAAAAAAATAATAAAGTGCTTACAGGATCCTGTGGTGTATTCACCATATTACTGAAGCCTTCATTCTCCCTCTCCAACACTGACAGGGCGCTCTTCTTTCAGTGTTTCCTACAGGTTGAGAATTTACTTGCAAGTGGCCAATATGCAGGCAGAGACTCGTGCATTTTCAAGGGGGAGAGTGTAACTCATGTTAGTGTCTGTGGCTACAATTTACAGATGTCCCTAAAACGCCTCACATGCATACTTTAAATGGTGACAGTTTTAGCTAACTGACTCCATTATACTTCCTGTTTGCATCCTGAAAACATGGGAATTGTAGTTCCATAAATTACAGCATAATTATTTCCCCAAATCAAAGTAAGACAAAGTCTCCATGAACTATGGTTATTTCACATGGGGTTGTGTGAGGTACTTATTTATAGTCAGTGTATTGCCTGCAGTAGATCTGGATCGGTGTGCTCTCAGTTTGGAGAAAAAGACACAAATACTGACTCAGAAGCTGAGTGATGAGCTGCTGTGGACGCGGTCAGCAGATGAGATGGGGACTGAAGTTTGCGACTCAGACTCAAGTCGCAATAAAGTCGCACAGCGACTTGAGACTTGACTTGAACTCTAGATTTGGGACTCGTGAAGTCTTAATTTTTTATTTTTTGGCGCATTAACATGATGAAATGTCTGGTGTGCGGGACGTCATTTCCTCATAGGGCTCATAGGGCTCACAGGTGGTGTGTGTGGTGATCAGACCAGTGGAGCAGACTACACGACACACTGTGGTTCTGTGTAGCCGTCATCTCCCTCACGTCTGTCTCCAAGAGAACTACCTTCGGCTCAGGTTCAGTTCGGTCTCGCGTTTATATCTTTATCATTGTTTAAACTGAGGCAGCAGTGGACTGCATCCAGACATCCAGAAAAATCCAGATGCTTCAAATAGTTGTGCATCCACCAGCAGTAACTGCAGACAACAGACAGGAGGAGCAGAGCAGCAGAGTGGGTTCAGACCACAGCTCCCAGTACAGCTCCCTGTGAGTCCAGTTTTATATAATAGGCAGCAAGCAGAGGACAACAGGAAGAGTTTATTTGGAGGTATACTGTTAAATGGCTTTATTTTCTGCTCTTGCTTCATCAGAAATTCTAAGTAATTAAAGTCTTGAAAGTATTTGATCAGCTCACAATTACAGAATTTTACTACAGAAAGATCCAGTGAAGGAGAAAAACTACTATAATGAAGAGAGGTCTGGTGTTGTATTTACTGCTGCACTGTCCAGTCTGAACTCTAATCTCTAAAGCTATTAATTTATACAGAGGAAAAAGATCCACAGTTTAATGTGCTGGTTGTTCTTTCTGATATGTTGTTCTCCTCTGTTTGCTACGTGATTCTCCTCTGTTTGTTACCTTGTGGCAGCAGCAGGGAACAGAATGCTTAATACAGCCATAAGAGACTTGACTTGACTTGTTTTAGCCACTTAAAAATGCCCACCAAGAATCATTTGATACCTTGCATTTCTTTGGTTTTGAGTTTGTATTGTTTTTTAATAAGCTTATATAATTGCTGAACAAGGAGCTGGTTAGTTCACACAACCTGCTTGGTTCTCAACTTTGTTCTCAGTTCTTTCCCTCTTTCTTCCAGGCGAACTGTGAGTGGGAGTGTCAGTGGAACTGGTAGCAGTTATACTGGTTCTAGCTCCAGATCCAGATCCTCGTCCAACTCCCTCTCACGCTCGCGCTCTGGATCCAGAAAATCCAGGTACTTGCCCATGTGAAGATCTTCATTGTCATCACAACTGCAGTATTTAATATAATAGGCTACTCTTACACACAGAGTTGTTCTACGTATGTCTTGAAAATTGAGTGTTTTTTTTGATTGACATTACTATGGCACGTTAACAATAACTGGAGATAGAGCATGTTGGCTCATAATGTAACTTTAAATGAACACATACATGCAGGTGATGATGACAATCTTTAGAGTTGTCTGCAATTTCACTTATTGGTGGACGATCTGATGATTTATATCATGGACGATCTTACTTTGCGTATGACCTACTTTTCAGATGAATTTTACAGATCGCGACATTAAAAGTTTCTATATTTAGATATTTAATTTTACACGTTCAGTCACTGCTAACCAGCCCATTGTTAACTGTTAAACAGCTAGCCCGCTAACTGTAGCTGGAGAAAAGAAGTCTTTATTCTGCTCTGCATCCTTGGTGGGCTTGGCATGGAGCTACATTTAGCAGTTTTCCACCTGAGCAGACCAAGAACCACTGTCACCAACTGCAGTCCAAGACAGTGGAGTTACAGTTCGTCTTTGGGACAAGAGACCTATCAGCAGGCAGGACAGCCTGAGCTGGGACCAACCAGGGCTAGCTGCGTAGTCAGTGTGTTACCTGCAGTAGATTCAGATCAGCGCGCTGCCAGTTAGGAGAGGCGGCCAGGATCCACTAGCAGAACGATGTGTCGCTGTGCACAGGGCCAGCAGAAGAAAAAAAAACACCCACCGAAACAATCCAATATCCGTTTGGGTGTATGCTCCATGTAGAATAGAATATTAGAACTACCATGTTCCTATGCACAAGCGCACCTATGGAGTGCAGTGTAATATGTCGCAGGTCTCGGTAGGTGCGCTCGTGCGTCGGAATACGGTAGTTCAGCGGTTGAAAAAATGTCGTGCCAAAAGAAAGTGCTGTCTTGAGGGGAAGATGAACCGCTGAAAATATTCTACACGAATATTCTACATTTAAACGGATATCGGACTGTTTCAGTGGGTGTTTTTTTTAATTAACGAACTTTCCCTTTAACAGAAGACACCATTGTGGGCAAAGAGTAGTGGCGAGCTGACAAACATCCGAAAGAAACGTCTAAGTAGCGGAAAGATACAAATCACAACTTCCAGTCAGGACTTTCACAATAAAATAGGAGAGGAAACAGAATGCACATCACAATTAACGTTGTGAATTGTGATTCTACTCTAAAGATTGTCTTATGATCTTTTTGCCATATTACCAAGGTTAAGAATTCTGTGCACACAGTTTATAAGCTGTGGTGTCGGATTCATTGTCACTACCCTCAGATCTGTAAACACTGCATTTGAATAGATGCACTCAAATGACTTTGTTTGGAAGTAAAAAGCATATTAAATACAGTGTTACACTGTGAAAGTGGCATAACACCCAATGGAATGTGCGTGCTGTAAATTTTAGTGAAGTTCTACCTGTAGAATGTAGAAAAGCGATGTTTGAACTTTCTCAAAAACCACTCATCCAAAAACTTTCACAGTCCACATTGCATTTCCTTGGTCCTTAGCAATATGCCGCCAAGTTTGAAGTCAGTCAGATGAGCAGTTGTCAAGGAAAACATTTATATATTTCCATTTATAGTTAGATGCAGCCTAACGTGGTTTCATTTTCTGTTCTTCTCTTTCTCTTCTTCATGTGATGTCTGTTTGGAAACCATCCAGGAAATCCAGGTGATGATACTTATTATTCTGTGTGTGTGTGGGTGTGTGTTGTGTATACACAGCGATCAGTCAGAAGCACTGTTGGTATCTTCCCCATGTGACTGAGAATCAGCACCTCACAGTCAAGCTGTCATCTTTTGCCACAGATCGCTGAGTGTGAGCAGCGTGTCGTCGGTGTCATCAGCGTCGTCCAGCAGCAGCTCTGTGCGTAGCGCAGACTCGGATGACATGTACGCTGACCTTGCCAGCCCGGTGTCCTCAGCTAGCTCCCGCTCGCCGACACCAAATCACCCCCGCAAGGAGCGAGGAGCTGTGCGGGACCGGCCTCCACATGGAAGAGACAAGAACAGGGGTTAGTATGGGACACAGTCCCTGTACAGCAGGCACACAGGACACATGACACAGACTGATACACAACAGCATCACATACAAACTATAAACTCTCATGTAGAAGCTGGAATTCAAATAATGGCCAAGTCTCAGTTAATCGGTTCCCATGTTTCCCTGTCCTCATCACAGAGAGACCATCAAAGAAAGATGAACCCTTCAGGGAGGATCGCAGGAAGATCGACCCATCAGGTGCCCCACCTAGAGGAGGCAACCCTGTGCCCAGATCGGGACCTGGTAGCAGGGGTGGCCACCCTGTACATCCCCCACCTGGTGCCATGGGCCCCCCTGGAAGCTACGGAGGTTCAGGATCCCACAAAGACATCAAACTCACCCTCCTCAACAAGGTTACTGTTGCTCTTCATCTCATTTTTTAAGGCTCTGTTCACCCAAATCACGAAAACTGTATTTCCTCACCTACCAGTAGAAGTAGAAGAATTGAGCAAACCACATAACCACATGTTAATTAGTGAGTTTTAGATGTGCTGGTAAGTGGCTTTTGTTGCCTTTGTCAGAGCCAGACTGGCTGTTTCCCCTGTTTCTACTCTGTATGCTTGTTTTACTAAGTATTTGACTCACACTTCTCACTTCATGTTTAGTGTAAAATCATGAACGTGATCAATGTTCTCTTCGCTCTATTAGAAATAATGCTAATTTTCATATTTGCCAAAATGCCAAACTATTCTTTTAAATTCTATTCTCTTAAAGTTTCCCTCCACTCAGCCAATGCAATTCCATACTTGCATGAAACAATGTGCACAGCTCCTCTAAAAAGCAGTGGGTAAACCTACATCCTGATTACTTGAAGCAGAAATTCTAATTGTGTGGATGATTTTTTTTTATTTTTTTTTTTTTATTTAATTCTATATAAGCAGGGAGATAAAGGCAACAGGAAGAGATACCTGCCTTCAGACAAAGACAGGCCAGGTTCTCCCGCCAGCAAGAGGATGGCCATGTCTCCAGACAGAGGTGAGAAACTGCTGACTAACAGCACACAAACTTTTTCTCACACATACGCACATACACACACACACAGACACCAGAGCTAGACCAGTATATGGGAATGTTACTGCGTCTTGTCCATCTCTGACGTGATGGATTTAATGCAGTTTGCATAGTTACAGTATCTGTGGGAAACCTTTAACCTGAATTAATTCTGATGTGACATTTTGGACATATTCCACAGACTTACAACTGGAAAAGGTTTATTGGTATGCCAATAAACCATGTGGTACTGGCATTTGTGAATATTTTGGTAACATTTATCCATGATAATTTTTGTTCACGCTGAAAACGTTGTTTGATTAATCAGTCAGTCAACAGAAAATCACTCTGCAAGGTGTAATCATTGCTATATCATTTTATTTTATCAGTTCAATATGTCAAACATCAGCTGGTTTCAGCTCCTTAAGTTTGACAGCTTGTTTTTTTCACTATAAATTAAATACCATATTAGTTTTATTGTCATTTATTTATTTAACTTTTTATTGACTGAACAAATCTGAATAAATCTTTTTTAGATTCATTGATAATGAAAGTAATTAGTTGCATCTCCAGCAAAAATATTCAGATAATGTTTCCTGAATTATTAACAAAGATGATGTCCATGATGATGCATCTGACTTGTGTATGTGTCACAAGAAAAGAGATTGCCTTCAGTTTCATCCTGTAATAAACATTTTTATCAGCTCCCTGAAACAGACAATGGGGATGATCTTAAACCCACTATCCTCCTGCTTTCTCCACCATGACAATCTGTGGTGAAGGTGAAGTGTTAATCCTGCTATGAAGAGGAAGTGTTGGTCATCAGCCCACATTAGAAAAAAGTCAATTGTGTTTCCATACTTACACACATGTAACAGCTCTTATCAGGGTAAATGATTTTAGAATGACCTGTTAAAGCCAACGCTGTGACCATTTTATAACTGTTGGAAATGTTTGTACAGTCCGTTATCTGGTCCAGTTTTCCCCCACCTGAACGGTCAACATTTGTTTTTCAGTAGGGCTAATATGATTAAAAAAAATCATATTGAGATTATTTTCACAGATATTGAAATTGCAATAAGTCACAATTTCAGTAGGCATGGTAATTTTTGCATTCAATTTTCACTGGAAAAAAAAGTCTCCACCAATCCAGCTTGTTCCCTTACGAATGGAGAATATGATTCGAAGGCTGGGGGCATCTCTTTAATGCTACATTTATTATCGTATGTCATGACACAGTTTACCTTTTATTAAGTAATTATTGGATAGGTGTTGGATATTGCACTTGACTATATTGCTGTTTCAATTGTATTTTGTTTAATTGTTCAGCCCTAGTTTCCTGGCAACAAAGTTGATATGATATAATGTGGGTCCTCCCACAAGAGTAACCTCATTATTATTTAATTGTTACATTCCTGATCTCTGGTTATTCAACAACACAATGTGTGTAATTAAAGTTATGCTGATGACACACCTGTATCTTTAGCTATATTCATTAAGCAGCAAATGAACAGAGACATGATATTCCAGCGTCCTTCATCATACCACCTGTTCAACAAGCTTTAAACATGTAGAAAAGTTTTTTACACGAGCGCAGTGCGCTAACATTAAGCTAATAGTGAACTGTTATAAACAAGCTAAAAGGAAAACTTTCTGTGTGGAGACTGCAGCTTCATTTGCCACAAACTTTTGTAACAGCTACCAGTTACAGTTACCTGTAGCAGAGAGATGACCGATAGTGACCTTTGTCTATGTTCTTCATTCAGCTTCACTGAGAAAAACTGTATATGCACACTTCAATATTTGTTTATTTATTGTAAGTCACATCGTCATCACAAATCTTCCTCATATCATGCAGGCCTAGTTCCCAGCAGGAGCACCAGCACAGAAGCTGAATCATGAGCTGCTGTGGATGGGCTCAGCAGAAAAACCTATTTTAGCCAAATGCCCACAGAAAAAACTAATATCAGTTTAAGTGAACACTATATTTTGAATATTCCTAACACTTTATCTGCTGTCAAACAGCCCTTTGGAACTACATTTTTCAACTGTTGAACTACCATATTCCTACGCACAAGCGCACCTACACTAAGCTCTGTCTGACTCAAACAGCTGATCTGCGTAATAATACAGTAGTTTAGGTGTTCCCAAAATGTGCTTTTTCCCTAAATGCCCTTTTTCAAAGGGCTGTTTGACACCAGATAAAGTTTTGAAAATATTCAAAACAAAGTGAACTATTAAACTGATATTAGTTTTTTCTTTGGGTATTTTTAAGTGGATAAAATACATTTTTGTGGCTGACCCCATCCACAGCAGCTCATCACTCAGCTTCTCCTGCTGCTTCTCCAAACTATGATGGCGCTGATCTGAATCTACTGTAGCTAATACACTGACTGTAGATAAGTACATCACACAACCTGACGTCAAATAACCCGAACTATCACTTTAATGTCTTTGATTTAAATCAGACAAAGTTGAAATGTAAAAATGTCCCTCTTACTGCTGAAATCATGCTGTATAGAAACCCAGCTGTTCAGCACTGCTGAGCTTTTCAGCCTCATTGTTTTGATTTCAGGTTCCACACATTCACTGTTTGGTTCAGTTGTACCACGTTATGAACCACTGTGTGTAGCTCGATTCACAAGCAGACAAACATGCCACAGAGGTCTCTATGGTTTCATTACTTCTTGTTCCGTTTCGGATTTGAAAGTACTGTGTTGTTGTTAAATACCAATGTCCATTCTGTCATTTAATTTCTGTCACAAGCCCACATCCCTATTTAAGTGGAAGTTGAGACATTTTATGAAAACTTAAACAGCTTTTAAGAGAGACTTACACTCACAGAACCACAGTAATGTGGGTTGAATGAACTAACACTTCAGTCCTAACAGCCTCATTAACTCTCACACTGGTGTTTTCAGGCCGTGATAAAAGGATACCTGGCCGACCCCCACTCTCCCCTCGAATGGATCGGCCCAGAGGCCAAGGGCCGCGACCCTTGCCCCCCCACGGAGACAGGTTGGTGCAAATGTCTGCTTGTAATTGCTGTATGACTGTGATATTCATCGTTTAACACTGTATCACACAACAACAGAAGTCAACAGTCGTAAAAATGGGTATTCAGCTGGAAGTGTGGAAATTCTGAAGTCAACTTTTCTTTGTGACGTATGGCCCTTATCACCGGCAGCGATCATGTTGACTCAGGCCAGACATGGCAGGGATTTCAGATCATGAAGTTTTTTCTGACCACAAGTGCTTTGCCAAAATGAGGATGTCACAGAGGTGGAAGCACATCGGTATTACACTATCTCTGCACGTGTCATTCACTGGCTCTCGAGCAAAATCCCCAATATGCAACAGGTGCTCTGTGACAGGGCTCAGAAAGTGTTCAAATATCAAGTACAGAGGATAAACAAAATATGAACAATTGAAATGACTCATCTTTAGTTATTTGGATGCTGTGATATTGGCAGCAATGGTCATCCCCCAGGTCAGGAGTTTCAGTTAATGTTCATCAAACATCAGAATGAGGAAAAAATGGGATCTCAGTGACTTTGACCGTGACATGATTGTTGGTGTCAGACAGCTGGTTTGAGTTTTTACAGATAACCACTTTTTACAACTGAGGTGAGCAGAAAAGAATTTTAGAAAGTAGAACATGTCCAACCTTGAGGTGGATGGACTACAACAGCAGAAGACCACGTCAGGTTCCACTTCCTGTCACCAAGAACCTAGTCTGATGGATGTGGATTTGTGCTGAGGCAGCAGATGGTCGGGTCAGAATCTGAATCCATGGACCAACCTGCCTTGTGTCAACAGTCCAGGCTGCTGTTGGTGTGATGGTGGGGGGAATATTTTCTCGATGCACATTGGGTCTTAAAGGGATAGTTCAGTTTATTTGACGTGGGGTTGCGTGAGGTGCTCATGAATAGTCCCAGTCAGGAAACCTGACCAGGAGCACCTGGCAGAGTGGCATTGCGATGCGTTGCTATGCACGGGGGCCACAAGAAAAAACATTTTTTGAAGACTTTTAAAAACATCCACCGGCAAAATCCAATATCTTTTTAAATGTACACTTCATGTAGAATATTTTCAGCGCTTTATCTTCCCATGAAAGCAGCACTTTCTTTTGGCACTACATTTTTCCACCGCTGAACTACCTACACACAAGCGCACCTACGGACTGCACTGACCATCTGTGAGCCAAATGCAACGTGACTTGAGTTGCAGCTTCCCCATTTGTTGTTGCTCTTTCATAATGAATTAGTGTAAGCACTTTTCTTTAGGGTTTTTTTGTACAGCCTTCAGTGTTCGGAGTGAGCCTAACAGGTGAGCCACCAGGGCGGGTGAGCCACCAGGGCGCCACAGGGTCCCCCATTTTATTACGTTTTATTTTATATTTATTATTTTATTTCCCCGATTTTGGCTGGGGACCCCCAGGAACCCCGTCAAGGACTCCTGGGGGTCCTGGGGGACCCCACTTTGAGAACCACTGCCTTAAATGATGTAAGTACTGAATACAGGTAATACAATAAGAAGACGAACACTCTCGTCCCCACAGCTGATGATTACAGCAGCTCATTCTTTTTGTTGCTGCTTTCATACTGGGGGGGATTTTCTCTTTTTCTTCTTCATGTCACACTATCAGCTTGTAGCAACTGACCAGAGTACTCTTATTTGTTTTTCTCAGAAAACGTCCTCTGTCACCAGCCCCCAAGTCATCTGGGAAAGCCCCAACGGCGCCATCAGGCAAGCCAGCCACCCCCGGCTCTGCTTCAGCGGCCGGTGCAGGCTCCAGCTCAGGGTCAGGCTCCAACAAACCCAGCAACACACTGTCCCGCCGTGAGGAGCTGCTGAAACAGCTGAAGGCTGTGGAAGACGCCATCGCTCGGAAGCGAGCAAAGATCCCCGCCAAATAGAAGGAAGCCCGCTCCTCGCCTGTTTACCTGCCTCCTGAGCTGGGACAACAGTGAGGGTCATGGGACGGAGCGTTTTTCCCCCTGCTGTCAGTGGATGTGTAAAAATGTTGTATGGTTCATGCTGCCACAAAAAACATCTTCTGCTTGTTTGCCTTCAGAGAGGTTTGGCTCTGCTTCATTCTAGAGCGTCGTTCACTCCCATATGCCTGACTTTTGCTCCCCTTAAAAGTCCTTGAATGTCTGGCTGCAGTTTACCTCATCAGCGAGAAACAGGAGGGAACACGTGGGTATTTGGTGAGGGGGGGACGTCTCAGGAATGGAGTGTACTCTGTGTAGACTTCACGGAAACAGAAGCGTAGTGAGGTGCACTTTGATCTCTGTTCCTCCAGTGAAAAGGAAGCATCTTCCTCATGTGGTGTGATGAAAAGCAGATTTATACACATTGATTCTACTACTTCTGTCTGTCTTACTCTGCCCCCCTTTTATTGTCTTGTTCTCTCACATCTTTGCTTTAGTTTCCTCTGTGTGGAGTGGTGTGACTGTTGAGTCAGCTCTACAGGGTACTGACGGCCGACAGGGCTTCACAACATTTCTTTGTATAAATCCACAAGTTCTTGAGCATCCGTATTCGGCCCCTGTAAGCAATCATGAGCCCATGCTTTGTTCACAGTGGGCCCCTCTTTAACCAATGACTCATCTGCATTCTGTGTTTTAGGGCAGTGTTCACTGTCTCACCTTGTACAATAATAGCCAGTCATCACATTCTTTTAACCGTATGATTATAGACAATAGTGATGTGAAATATTGCTTCTTCTTTTTTTTCTTTTTTTTTTTTAAATCTGCAGCATTTTGTTTTTCTTCTTAGCTCTTCTCAAGTGATAAACCAATGTTTTATTTGTGTCACATTTTTAGTTGGAGGAGTATGAGAGGTGGAACGGGGACATTTAGAGACAAGATATGTCTTGCTTTTGTGACAACAGCCTTCTAAATAAACTATTTTGATAAAGAGAAGGTCGGTCGCCTGTTTTTTTTTTTGTTTTTTTTCAGGTCACAATTACACACACGCTGGAGGGATTATATCTCTCGGCTGGCCTTGGAACGCCTCGGGATTCTCCCGGAGGAGCTGGTGGAAGTGGCTGGGGAGAGGGCCGTCTGGACCTCTTTGCTGAGGCTGATGCCCCCGCGACCTGGATCCGGATAAGCAGGAGACGACGACGACGACGAACAATTACACACAATTCAGACGCCACAGTGTTGAACATAAAGATACCTAGAATCACCACCTCATGGTTGTTTCCTCCACCAACCAGCCAAACTGCAGGAAATATGGTCACAGTCTCTCCTTCCTGAGTTACAGTGTTAAACAATGGCCAGAAGTGTTTTTGCAGAACATTATATTATATGATGTCACAGTGAAGTTGACCTTTGGATATAAAGTGTAATCACTTCATTTGATCCTTATAGACATTTGTGTTAAACTGTGTCATAATTTGTTTATGAATTTGTGAGTTATGGGCACAATTATGTTTTGTGCCGTCATAGTGACCTTTGACCTTTGACCACCAAAATCTAATCAGTTCATCTCTGAGTCCAAGTGAATGTTTGTGCCACATCTGAAGAAGCGGACATACTGACAACTCTGGCACTGGAGGCATAATACCACTGTCACTCAGGGCTTGAATCTCTTGTGGACAGTTGATGGTATTGAACCTTTTCTCAAAGCATTGCTTTAGCATGCTACAGTGTTGTGAAATGTCTGTACCATTCGACTTCCATCTGTCCGTCTTCTAGCTGTTGCACTCCTGTCTCAGCAGCTTTGTACCTGATCAGGTCAGAACTATGAACCTGTGATCTTTAATCAGGCCCCGCCTCCAGGTCAAATTTCACTTAGTTTATGACATGACCTGCAAAACTAAAGACATTCCCCAAAAGTTAGCATGCTAACACACTGAACGCAGATTGTGAGCATGTTAAATTATTGTACTTGGCCAGCATGCTTGAGTACGGAAGCTGAGAAAGGCCATACTCAGAAATATTTTTTTTTCTCTTTTTATCTCAAGATAACAGAGGTCACTATCCCAGATAACAAAATAATTATCCCATTATCCAGACAAAGCTTGTTTTCTCATTAAAACTACTTGTTGGGGCGTCACGTAGCACAATGGGTTACGAAGGCGCCCCATAAATAGAGGCCACAGTCCTCGCTGCAGCTGGCCCCCGGTTCAACTCCCGCTTTGGACGGCCCTTTCCTGCATGTAATTTCCCCTCTCTCTGTCTCCCCATTTCCTGTCTCTCTACTGTCCTGTCCATTAAAAGCACAAAAAGCCCAAAAAAAAATAATAATAATTACTCGGTTAATCAGAGGTCAGATGTACCAAGTCAGTATGCAGATGGCAACTTGTGGAGCTGTAAACTGAAAATGTCAGGACAACATATTGATCAACACATCAGAGAATATTTCAATCAGGGCAGAAATCACACTGTGTCTTTGCATACAAGATCATTTTCAAATCAGTCCTCGTCAGCTAATGAGTTACTAAGGACTGCTGCTAAACGAGGAGCGATACTGCGACTTAGTGTGTGAGGTTCAGTCCTGATGATATCTCGTTGTCTCGCTATAATGAGCTTTGTTATGTTGTGATAACGGGTTAGAAGAATATTTGCATGTATGGCCTTTCTCAGCTTCCGTACTTTAGTGTTCTCACTGTTGCAGCTGACACCTGTAAAGCATCTGTTTCTCAAACAGTGGCTTTTCATGTACTTATGTGTCTGAGCCTTAAACTTTTTTTCTTGTCCTGGTCAGATCCAGTTTCCTTCTCAGCACAGTCGTGGATTCATTGGAAGTGTTCGGTTTCTTGGCAGTCTGACATGTGGAACCTTCATTTAGACGTGTGTTTCTGGAGAAAGTTATTTTTGTTTGGGCCATTAAATCAAGAATTAAACTTGTGCTGGGAGTACCAGCATCTTGTAACCTAAGGAAAGACAAGTTACCTAGTTTACTGAACAGACCAGAGTTAGTATAAAGGTGTCTCTTGAGTATGAGATAAAGGGAGGAGGTGAGTGAGCGGTCAAGGCTCAGTCATCTGGAGTGGAGGAACAAATGAATATGTACATGAGGTATTCTCTGGAGGCATTGAGTTTTGCATTTAGGAATTCTCAGAGTTCCATCTGAACTGTGTGACCTTTATCAGAAACAGAAATTTGCTTAGTTTTTCATAACATGGACAGTAACATAACTGCATGGTGGAATAGGGAACCACAGCACTAACATGCAAAGTTTCAGCCAGGTCAAGTGAAGATTAAGAATGAACATGCCCACTCAGGTAATAAATACTCACTAATATATGATGATATATATCATTTGCATGTGGTAATACGAGTTGAACACATTTACGGTAACCCAGAGATGCAAAACTAAACAAAACAAATTAAAAGTCACTGATGTTTGACAGATAAAAGTGTCTCTTTATTAGATTTATGATATTAATTTCAACAGGATCTGCCCAAACAGTGGATTCACTCAGGGATGTAAATTCATGCAGTGCTTTTGTGTGGAGTTCAACTTTAACCAAACTGTCCTGACATTTGAGGTAATGGAGAACTGGAGTGTCCACAGCGCAGGAAGCTGTCATTTTATAAAAACCCTGCTCTGCTGGAGTAAAAGTACATTATATTTCATGAAAACTGGTAATTGTAAATAATGTGTTTTAGTTTTTAGTTTTAGGAAAAAGTATCAGTACAATAATGTAAAAATACTCAATTTCAGGTAAGAGTCATTCATTCAATATCACTTAAGTACAAATACTTGAGTATTATTGGCAAAAGTACTTAGCGTAATCCAGTGGTTCCTAGTCTAGGGGTCCGGCCCCCTCTAAAGAGTCACCAGATAAATCCGAGCGGTTGTGGAATGATTTTTTTTTAGGGGTTATGCCACTTATTTTCATTCCTTTTCAGACTTTTCTCTGTTTTTGTGTTTTATGTGAGGGATCACCAGCCATATTTTATGTAACAAACCTCATTCCAGATGTTGAATTTGTGATGTAGGATTTTGGTTAGTTTTGATAAGTTAAAGCAACTTAACATCCTGCTAACTGACTTAGATCTGTTAAATAGTTTAAGTGAAACAACAACAACACAAACTGACCTAAGTGGAAGAATCCTCTCTCCTATTTCACCAACATGTTCCAGCACAGGGCCTTAATCAGTGAAGTGGTGATCACATCACAAATGTACAAGTTACGTCAGTGACAAGTATCAAATTGTTTTGTGTAATTAACTTCCAGACTTTCACAATAACCCCTTGATAACTCATACACAGGACTATCGTCACAGCTTTGTCAACATCTGTTGCATTTCCTGCCTCAGAATGAAGTGTTTAAACTCACCCACAATCCACAGAGTTACAGTACATAAGCCAGGGATGGTGTGACATCACTCCAGCACGTGCCACAAAACTGAAAGTAAAGCTTTCAAATAAGCTGATAATTCACACTGGATCTGAATGTGTCCCAAATCAGATCAGTGTGATATTACATTAGCTGTAATGACTCAGAACGTGACCTCCAGTGGCCAGGACAAGAGTCAGTATCTCAGCCAGTCTGAGGCCATGGTTCTCAGCCAGGTAACAGTGGCCTGCTTCCTGCAGTACAGTGTACAATGGCATTAAATATTAGAAAATGTGCTCTTACTTTTCTGACATTTCTCCAGACAGACACTCTGAATGGGGAAAATCTAGCAGCTGAACTACAATACACAGAAGACTAGAATGAAACTGACATTGACGTGATCCTTAAATGTGGTTTTCATATTCTGATAAACATATACAAAAAGGGATTATCTCGCAATAAGTCTTCATTGTTTGTTTCTAAACAACAGTCTCCGTCTTAGAGACTATCAGGAACATCGCACTAACACTGTCTAGTTCCTCTTTGCTCTCAAACAGCCTCAGTCACTGAAGTTCCCTGAACTCAATGTCATGTTCATGAAACCAGTCTGTGACATGGAGCATTATCCTGCTGGAAGTAGACATTAGCAGATGGTACTGTGGCCATGAAGGGATGAACATAGTCAACAACAATACTCAGACACACTGTGATACTCAGACCATTATTGATTGGTGAGAAAAGAAAACACTCCCCACACATTACAACACCAGCAGCCTGGTCTGTTGACACAAGGCAGGTTGGGTCCATGAATTTATGCTGTTGATGCCAAATTTCATCAGACCAGGCTGACCTGTATCTGCTGGATTCTATGCATTACACTGCTGCCACATGATTGGCTGATTGGATAACAGCTTGAATACTCAGGTGTTCCTAATAAAGTGCTTGGTGAGTGTAGCTTTCATGTTTTGTGGAGCGAGACATGCACATCAGAGCTTCTTTATTCTTCTGACTAGTAATATCCCGTTGGCTCAACTGTCTTTTGCTGCCAGATACAGTTTCCCAGAAGTCCTTGCTCTGTGTATAAACACACAGAAACTGGTGTTTACATGTGCAGAGGCTGAATGCACTGCAAGGGGACTGGCCAGTGGAAAGTTAACAGTGAATGCCCCTTACACACTGATAACAGGACATTCCCCTCTCTTAACAGACAAAAATGTCCCACTGCACACACACACACACACACACACAGGCAGTTTTCTTTCTTGTAGAAAATTAACTTCACCTACAAACACATTTAATACAACCGTGACACACAGGAACTGCTGTATCTTTTTTTTCTTTCATGGTTCTGTGACCGTGAGCTCCCTTCATTTCTCACCAGCTGAAGTAGCCTCACACTCATACAAACAAGTGCAAGAGGCCAAGTGTTATTGAAAGAGAAGTGTCTGCTACTTAGTTAAACTTCATCACTTTGGACTTTAAATGTTTGTCTGTTTTCTTAATTTAAGAAAAAACTATAAGAAAAGTGTAATATGACAGGTCACAGTGATGAACCCACAGGGATTTATCTACTCTGTTTTAGCATCTTGCAGCTCATGTTTTTGGTTTTATGATCCACACATTCTCTCACATGCTCACCAGCCTTGTTTCCAGCAGCTGTGATTACCCACAGTACATTGTACCTCTACCTCTTCAGTGAATCCACATTTTCAAATCAATTTTAAGGGAGCTATTTTTAAGCTTGCTATTGCTACATAGCTAGCGTTAGCATTAACAGCTGTTTACTTACCAGTGTGGAAGAAACATGCGTTCAGCATCAAACTTCATTCATTTACTCACCAACAGCTGTCAGCCGAGGTGGAAAGTAACGTCAGTGTCGACTCGTCTCCATCACATCTTTTCTTCTACTCAAGTTAGCATGCTAATCAGCTAGCCCTGGCCCATCTCGTCACTTTCCGATAGCGACTCACTGTAGCCTCCGATCTGCCGTGAAGACATAGCGCTGCTGAGGGGACGTATTATAACCTCTTGTCTTGTGAATGGAACAATGGCTGAAGCTCTTGACATGCAACAATCACCACCACCCACTCCTGGCAAGAAACCATGTTTGGCGGCAGAGAAAAGTTACAAATATTAGTTTACAAACTCTGCTGCCTGTTCTATTTCCAACAGTGCACAAGCAGTGCATTGCAATAAGTTAAGTTTGGACTCTCATTTACTTCCTATTTTCTTAAGTAGGCTACTGTATGTAATTATTTATTTATTTATTTATGTGATATTTATTTATTTATTAATGTAGTTGGCCTGCGTGAAAAGTGAAAATATTGGGAGTGAATGACTGTGTTTGACTGTTTTTTTCAATCTGTTTAACATTGTCTTCCATCTCAACATCAGAAACTCGAAGAAGAAAACACTACGCAGCTGAAGCTGACCAATCACACTTCCCATGTTTCCATGTGGTTTCTCCACAGCTGCTGTAGCCTAAAGGTGTAGTTACATTTTTGGGACTAGATATGAAGCCTATGTAGGTAGCTGCCTTTTATTTGCAATTGCAATCACCAAGTCTCCTTGTGTTATTCCTTAAATCCTGTGGGGATTAAAGAGTCTTTGTTAAGCTATAATGTCATTATGTCATGTGTATTTAGTGTGACAAACTCTCCTCTGTTAGAAGCTCTGTTTTAAATCCATAGTGACACATGAACAGACTGATTTGGCAAAATTATTCAATGGATCTATAAAAACATTTATTAGTGCCACGGGTGCTCACCCCGAGGCATCTATTAATATTCCTTCGGGTTTATTATTATTCTTCCGCCAAATTTTGGCGCGTAACTCGTCCCGCAGCTTTGAGAAAACCCCGGTAATATATACATCAAAACGTGCGTCTTGATCCCGAAAGAGGTGCTATGACTTTTGGTGTTAAAATTCCAATTTTTCCCAAAGTTATTCCCAAAATACTGGGAATAAATAATGCATTAGGAATGCATTGGAATTTTCTTTAAAAACCCACAAAATTTCACCTTTTTTCTACAAAATTTCACCTTTTTTCTGAGTCACCCAGCTCTCTCATACCTGCACGTAGAAATGTGATTCAAACTATAAAACGGAGGAAAACTTCTGCTCTCTCAAAAACACTTGAACTGTTTTTACATAACATGTAAACTTTTCAAACTATGAGCACTCAAAGGAGGAGTGCAAATCACTTTTTCTTCAAAGTTAGAGTGACAGCGTCAGTTGGCTAGAGTGCGTGAAGCAGTAAAAAATAACCTTTATTTTTATTTTTAACTCGAGCTCACAGCCAAACCGTAAAAAGGAGACAAATAATTCTTTCTCAAAATGTAGACATAGTTGTTGGGATTCAGTTGGGATTCAGTCCTGTATTCAAGCAAGTTGTGTTACCAGACACGGCTCCACTGACCTGGAATTTCTCATCCTCAAGTTTCTCAATTTTACGCAACTCTCTGGGAAGTGAGACGAAAAGTTTTTACATATTTATAGATTTAATTTATCTAAAAAAGGCTATGTAAAACATACCGTACATATAAAAGACACTTTGTATTCTTTTTTACACTTATCATTATTATTATTATTTCTGAGAGTTCTGAAACATGAAGTATAAGCAAATAAAGATTAATTTTGTTCTGAAATAAATACACAAATGAATAGTACACATAAAGTTTGAAATAAACAGGTAACGGGTGAGTGAAGTGAAGACATGAATGTACAAACACATAAATTACAATATTTGTCTCAGTCAAATAAGTGTATTAAAATACTGTATGTACCAATATAATTTCAAAAACATGATTTACATGATTGATTCCAGGGAGATTTACTTTACTTAAACCATTACATGCCTAACCCTTAACCCTAAAAAAACAACATACAGCCTCTTCATAAATAGCAATAATAGTTTCAGTCAGTTTCAGAACACGCCCATTTTTCCATCTGTTATTTAAATTGACATAATTCAATGTCTCTGTGTTTCTGAAATTAAATCACAAAACAAATGAAAAAAAAAACTGAGATTTTAAAAACAAGGAAACATTGAATCATGTTCAGTTTTCACTCATCCAGCAGCTAAATTCACTTGTGGCTTCTTTCTACTATTAAAATGAAACATTATTCAGGGGGTTGGTCCCAACACTGTTGCAGAAGTTCCCACAGATTTTTTTTTGCACTTGCAGGTTTCTTTGCTCTCACCTTCAGTCCAGTTCACCCCATACCAGCTCACACCAGCCTCTGGTTCTGTTCTTCTAATGTTTTATGTCATTATCTTCAAGCCCTGACTAACCAGTCTGTTCTCCTCTGTAACTGGTCTGTTTTTCTCCATTCTTACTATACCTGCAGTACAGTATTGTCCTAGTCAGCAACAGCATCATCAACCTGTAGGATATTTTTTGCATGAACTACCTTCATTTACTTCTACTGCTTTTTTTCTTTTTTACTTTGGGCAGTTTATCACTTACTTTGTACCATTCAAGGTTCTTCACTGGACTTGAGCTGATATCAATAAAACCTGGAAAAATGGAGGTGTTGTAGAACCAGTGGTGTATGAAAGACTAAACTGAACTAGAAGACTAAACTGATGTAAATAGGCTATCAATAGACATAACAGTAGCCTACACAGTCACTTACACAGTGAATCTAAAGGGTGCGTTCTCTTCAGCAGCAGTTTCAACACACTGTCTGACAACATCTTCCTTGTGTGTGTGTGTTTGTGTGTGTGTGTTTGTATGTGTGTGTGTGTGTGTGTGTGTGTGTGTAGAAAAGTCCTGGGCTGAGCTGTCAGCATACCTATGACATCACATGAATACCCCTCACACCTACCTCTGGCAGGCCACTTTCACCTCACGAAAGAGGAAGTCCAGGAAACTAATTGCCCTCTCCATTTCCTCATGTTTTCCCAGGTAGGCTGCACCAGCTGACAATAAATAGGCTGCACGGTGAGCATGATTAAAGCAAAGCGGATCCCCTTGTTGACAGTCAGTCAGTCAGAGGAGACAGAGAAACAGAGACCGGATGGACATGAAGCAGGTGAGTAAGACACAGTCAGGAACAGGACAGCTGCTCGCGCCGGTCTTTGCTCCCCCATCACTTCAGCTGCGTCTGTGTGCCTCCACAGGTTGTCACCTTTTTACTTTTCCTCGTGCCCGTGTGGGCCTGCAAGATGCACAAGTGCTACGAGGACCACGAGCTGAGCGATGCGGCGAATAGGAAGCTGATGAGCCACTACCCGCAGCCTCCGGAGCCCTTGAGTGCCGCGGCAGCCGACACGCCTTCCTCTTGTCCCCTGGCGCTTTACGAGCAGCAGCTGCCTCAGCACATCAGCGACAGATCCGTGTCCCCATGGAGATACGTGTAAGTACCACACTGGGAATAAAAACAAAAAAGAAAGAAAACACTAATTTAAAACTTTTAAGATACAAGGATGGAATCAGTGACTTTAAAAGGTTAACCCGCTTAATTGGGTCATTAATTAAATCTAATACATGATTGAATGGATTTAACTGCCAAACATCTGAAAATATAAAAATGGCCAGACATGGTGATACGTGTTTGTTACTTACCAGATGTGAAGAGAGAGAGAGAGAGAGAGAGAGAGAGAGAGAGAGAGAGGAGAGAACTAAGAGAACTATTTCGGGAGAGAGACCGTTAACAACTATATATACTGTTGTATTCAAGCACTGTCAGTCTGGTTTTTATAATGATAATAATAATAATTTTGTATTTTGATAGGTATTAAAATAGGAATTGTAAAAAATGATTTATAAATTAACTTTTAATCCATCGATAAATACTTAATAAAAACTAAATAAAGATTTTAAAATGGATTAAATGTATTAATTCGTGAATAATTTATAGAATCTGAAAAACAATTTGAATGGATAAGAACAGCAGCAGTGGTCGCAGCATAAATTAACATGTTATTTAAATTCTATTATAAAGTTTTCAAATATTTTATCATTTGAAAACTTTATAATAGAATTTAAATTACATCAGGTTAAAATAATGGAAACACTGTTATAAAGTGAAAACCAATCCATCCTGAATGTTGGCATTCGAAGCAGAGGTGCAGCCAAAAAAATCAGACATCACTCAGCGCTATGGCTTTGGCTCAGTGATTAAATGACGGCAGGTGAGTATGTGCACCTCCGGTCTCATAATCATCAGGCTGCATTGTGTAGAGTTCATAACATGTGTCAACGTAACAACATCCGCGCTCGTGGGCACCACGCCCGCTCCAGGAAAGGGAAAGTCCCGTCTGCATCCAGTGACTGCATCAGTGTTGGCACATACCCGTCGGGAAAGACGCGGATTGCTTCACAAAAGTGCCAATACCTCTAATCTGTGGTTGGAGAACGTGTTTCCTGTTTACTTGCTGTCGGCCTCTCTGAAGTCCCAGTGACGCGCCAAACTCCTCCTCCGACCTCCTGCTCGCTGTGGAGGACCGGGAGTGCCACAGGAAAAGTAATAAAGCATTTTAATAGGCATTAAAGGAATTGTAAAAAGAATTTATGAATGAATTTTTAATCCATCAATAAATACTTCAGATTAAAAAAACAGCATAAAATTCTGATTACATAAACCATTTAGGAATAAATGTATTCATTCATGAACAAATTTGAAAAATAATTTGAAAAGGCAGTAAAAAATGGGAATAAATAACTAAGTAATCGATTAGCTTAGTCATTTAGCTTCTCCTTTTAGCCTGTCTGTGACACTCTGGGCCGTCAGTGTTGGTAAAACCCACTGGTTAGCTCTCCAACCAATCAGTGAGCTCGTAACATCCCGTGGCCATTTAGGATTGTATAGCATTGCTTATAAATTCTTTTTACAATTCCTATTTTTAATGCCTATTAAAACATGAAATTAAGGAAATGCTTAATTACTTTTCCTTGGTCCTTCATAGTTCTCATCTTTAGCAACTCAGTTTGGAATTTAATTGTATTTAATTGTAAGAAAATCTAAAAGTTTTGCAAACTTTGTGATTCAATTTTTTTGATTGGATTCTTGCCACTGATCATAAGCAAGATCAGTGGCTGGTTTAACCTTTTTTGGGGTCACTGAAAAAAAGAAACATGTTGTGCATTGTGTCCCCTGAAAATCTCAGTGTCATCTAACATGACACAGCAGCAGCAGCACACTATAAATAGAAGTTGTATTACCAACCAGAATGATCGTGTGCTGCCAGACTGCAGGTTTGCTGTGTGTCAGTTTGTAGTGGGTTAATTAAACACAGACACATTGTCATGTACAGAGCAGCAGTGATGGACTATAACTAAAGGTACTTGTTGCTTTAAACATATGTTCCACTACACTTCAGAGGAGAATACTGTACTTTTTATTCTATCACCCTTATTGACTAGTTATTAATCAAAATGAGATGATTATGTTTATAAACTATGAACACATGGTTAAATATTAAACCAGTGAGTCTAATCTTCTTTGGTTTGTTGGGGTCACATTTCAGATCGTCTATGTTGATGTTAGAAGTTCCTCTAAAGCCCTGGTTCCATTTAAGTAACTGGTTTCAAGGGTTTAAACAAAAGAGCAAAAGTTAAAAAGGAAGATTACATTGTGCATTGATTTATTTTATTTGTTGATGTAAAAAAAAAAATCTGCATAAGTTTATTATGATGTCACAACTGTGGGTCTTCCTGTTCCTCTCCAGACTCGTGACTAAGAAGGATCACTTTCCCTCCACCTATGCCGAGGCTCAGTGCCTGTGCTCAGGATGCATCCTGATCCGCGACAAGGCTCCGCCACAGATGAGCGACAACTACAACTCAGTCCCCATAAAGCAGAGCAGGGTGTTTCTCAAGAAGGAGCTCTGCTGTGACGAAGACAAATACTACCTGAAGCCAGTCACTGTGGAGGTAACTGTGGGCTGCACCTGCGTCAGAGTCAAGAGCTCATAGAGGGGACCCGGCGAGACCTGCTGGCACAGTGGCACTCTACAGCTCTTTTGTGTTTGTTTTTAAATTCAATAAGTTCTCTGGGAAGTGTAACTCTGGGGTGTCGTGTCCTCCAGTGTGTGATCAGTGAGCACACGTCGTCAGTGGACTGTTGGGTCAGAGACCATGGTGCAACATGCTCTCTGATGGGAGTTTAAGGGATCATTTAGCAGCCTGTGTTTATGGGCCTATTTATTGTCATAATGACAGCATCATAATTGATGCATCTATCATTTGTGTTTTGTAGGTCTGTGTAGACCCTGTTCGCTCTTTATTGACTTGTTTACACCTATGCATAATGCAGCTAATGTAAACTGGGTATTTTACAATGTACTTGTTTTCATACTGATGGCTTTGTCATCGAGGAAAATGGCTATTGTATAGTTCTGTAGAGTAATATTTAAGTGCTAATAATATGTGAATAATTATCTATTTATTTGGTTTGTTTTGCCTATGAAATGTTTGAATGAGTGAAGGGTTTAAATGCTCATGAGTGGATGAAGACTATTTATTTATGTATCTTGTAGGTTTCGTCCCAGTGGGACTTTATTAGTCTAATAAAGACTTCAGAGTTAAGCTTCTTTGAAGCCAAATAAAGAAATGGATGTTAAAGAAAACATGTCTTCTGTGTGTTTTTATTCTCAAAGCTTTTATTGGAATGTGCAAGAAAGGTCCAGGAGCCTCAGTATCACAATGTCAATGGGTTTTTGGTAATTTGATTATGTAAAGTGTGTTTAGGTTGGCAGCTGCTCTGGGAAGTGTGACTGTGGGGTATTCAGGATTTGTAGGTTCCTGGTCTAGTTGTACAGACCTGCAGGTTTTCATGTCGATGGGTGTTGTGAGGGAAATTCTGATTCTAAGCTCAGTATTCCTGATTGCTTGAGGTTCGAAAAGGGTCAGCCTGAACTCTGTTGGTCAGCCTGACACTGATACTAAGCTCTGTTTTCTGGAGGAGACGTGAGTTCCTGCAGATACTGAGGGAGTTAAGACAGCAGAGCACGACCTTGGATGTCCAGCAACAACTGGTTGGCATTCTATGACTTGCACCTGGGCGAGCGTAAATCAGTTGTGTTGTTTATGGTTAATGAACCAATAGACTGATCACACATCCCTCACTCCCCATTCCTTTGAGATATTATACCAAATATGGAGAACAGACTATCTTTGGCATTCTTTAGGGCTACTTAAAGGAAAGACACAGGGACTCTTGTTAGAATTGAGGTGACATCATGCATATTTGCTTGTATTGATGATTCCTCCGTTCTCCTTGGCTGAGCTCAATAAACATCTTCAGCATAAGACATCCAGGGCTCCAGGGGTCTTCCTTCTCTGAAAGTCTCAACCATCGACAAGATAGATTTTCTCCCTAACAGGTGTTAGTTTCAGTTTATTTGACATTATGAGGACATCGAATCACACACGATAAAGAAAATGACACGGATAACATGGTAAAATCCAAGGTCTCTATTTTAATGACCCAAAGCGCATGGTCTACAGCATAAGTGCATTTAGGGTGTGTCCATGTCACTTTTGCTATTTTAACAGAGAAAAAAGTCACTTCTCTAGGAGCATGGTTCAAAAGGTAATTAGTCTCTTAATTATTCATGGGAGTGTTTTGGGGCGTAGCATCTAATAAACCAATCACAGTGCATCTCCCAAAGAAAGCCAGGTGCGCTGCACCTTGGTGTATCGCTATTATAACAGCACAGTGTTTCAGTTAGATTCAATTTGCAGTCAGTTCATTATATATTGTGACTAACCAGTGAGACCAGTCCTGACTAAAAAAAAGGAGTCATTTGTATCTGAAAATGACTTCATACATGTTCACCCTAAAAACTCTTGACCCAGCTAACTGAATAAGTCTGTACTTTTGCAGGTCATTTGCAACAAACTCACTCCCACATAGGAAGAACAGGAGCATGTCCATTAATGCAGTGTAATGAAGTTCTATTCACTGGTGTGAGAGCAGAAAACAGCAAACACTTCTCAGTCAAACGAGACAGTAAATTCTATTTATTACTTTATCAAAAGTTTTTTACAAAGTGGCCACACATTTTGGAAGTCAGTGTTAAAGTGAGTTGACACGTCGAGGTAATGATCCTTTCCTCTGGTATGAACATCGGGGCTGAGACGCCCTCAGAGCAACCTGCTTCAGTTCATTTATGTGGCAAACTTCTTCTGCCTGACTGGTGCAGGCAGCTGAGACATGATGTCCAGCAGGGGGCGCTCCACCACAACCAGAGAGTGGTCCTCCAATAAACTCACACACATGAGGTGCTGTGGCACAGATCAAGAGAACAGAAAACATCAGTGAGATGAAGGGAAATTATAGACTTAAATATAGACTTAACAGTCTCCTGCACCGTTTATGCTGTTTTCAGTTGATACCGGCTTAGAAGCAGCGCACCAATTGAAGTAAAGCTCCACTGTGCTCAGTGTGATGATTGTACCTGGAAATTCTTGCAGATCTTAAAAGCGTGGCTGTGTCTAATTCTCTCTGGCTCGGGAACACTCTTCAGTGTCATCTGATTGTAGAGCAGAGTCTTTGCTTCAGGGAGGGGCTGCATGTGGAAACACAGAGACACAAATACAGCTACAGTGTAGAACACCTTTGTGATGTGGTACAACAGGAGATTGGCAGCATGAATGTGCAGCTGACAAATCAGCAGAAATGATGTGATGCAGTCATGTCAACATGGAGCAGAGAGTCAGAGGAAAGTTTCAACGTCTTGTTTAATCCACGACATGAAGAACTGAGGCTGTTTGAGAGCACAGAGAGGAACTACCCAGTGTTAGTGTGGTGTTCCTAATGAAGTGCTCAGTGAGTGTGAATGCTCACATACCAGACTCTGGTCGATGATGCAGAACATGAACATGTCATGCAGAATGATGTGAGCAGGGTCTCTGGGATTGAAGGTGATGTGGGTGACGGGTGTGTCCCTCTCCAGCCACAGGGAATGCAGGCCTCGTTTCTGCAGCTTCCGACTCCACTCTGTGTACTCCTTCTTCACCAGAGAGTATTCAAAGATCTGCAACACACACACACACACACAGTAATGAGATCTGTAGAATGCGTCTGTCTCATTATCTTTGAGAAACTTTATGTTGTGTATGTCTTTTACTGTTGCAGCAGAGCAGGCAGTTCATTATTATTATCATTATCATAACAATCACTATTATTAAAGATCCTCTATAATATAAGATGAAGCATTACAAGCAGCAATGGTAAACACTTCCTGTCTCTTAAGTGGGCGTGGTCATGATTGTTTGTTGTACAAGATGATATCAGTCTAATACTGTGTTTTCCTGCCAAAAACAGTTCAATAATAATAACAATAATAGTATTAGTATGCAAAGAAATAAAAGTTTTAACTCTAACTCATGGTTGCACATATAGATCCCTCTAAACTTCTGTGGTTGGAAAGCGTCGGCAGCTCTACTGCAGCAGTGAAACCAGAACCGACAGAGAGAAGAGATCTGTGCTGAGAGATCTCATGAGAGTTTGTTACTGAGACAGACACAGGTTTCTAATAAAATTAATTTCCTCCTTATCTGTCTGAAATCACATTTGCAACCTATCCACCAAGGGCTTGGGAGTGCAATCTCCTCCCAACCTGGTCCTTGTTCTCCAGCATGTGCCAGAGTGCTGGTTTTTGTTGTTTTTTGTTTCTTATTATAGGTATCGGGTTGGAGATCGCCAGTAGTTCAGTTATTGGTTTTTGTGTTGGTTTGGTAGTTTAGAGGGGAGTCGCCGAGTGCTACAGCACATGGCGCGGCTGGCTCAGCAGCCTACCCTTCTTTTGTTCTTTTTGGCCAGGATCTCCACCCCTCCTCTGACTCCTCTAGTTTTGTTGAGGAGATTACACTTTTGCTATGTTTAAAATAAATGCATTCTTGATTTGGCATCTTTGTCTGGTGTCCTTTTATATGTTCCGATCTCCAGTTTGAGCCTGTAGTTCTGGTTATAGAGAGGCCATAACAATCATTATAAGATAACATGAAGTTGGACAAAACCTGATGCGGTGGTTTACCTGCTGGTCGGCGTGTACCACAACGAGGTTGCTGGTCACTGGGTGGATGGCGATGGCAGTGGGACAGGAGCTGTACACTGGAACTGTACAATGAAGCTGCAAACAGAGACATTAGATGTTTACTGTTAATGGGTTACATTTGAACTGTAGCCAAAACCACAAGAAATGACAAAGACTACAGGAGGAAAATCAGCGTTCAAACAAACCTTGTGTTTGTCAAGGTTGTAGACATGGATCTCACAGCCTGTGTTTGCTGTAGCGAGCCACTTGCCATCATCACTGGCAAACAGCAGGTGGACTGGCTGTCTGGAGCCTGGACGTCAAACACAGACACACTGGTTATACACTGTACAGATAGAAAGCTGTTTAGTGGTGTGTGTGTATATGTATGTGTGTGTGTCTGTGTTGTAACTTTAGACTTTTAGTCAGTGTCATTGGTAGTTTGCCATTTTGGTCAGACTCATTATGCTTTTACAGAAATGCAATACTCATACCTGTTTGGGAAAATCTCTTGGACATTAGTGAAATCATCATCATTAAAGGTCTTAAAAACCCACAGGTATGTACGTAGGTATGGTTTGTCTGACTAGATCCTTGTGAGTGTCTCAGCCTAATCAAACCAAAGTGCTTCCATTAAAAGAACATTTGATTTCTCACGGTATCAAAACTCATCTTAACACCTCATTTTAATGTCACAAAGTCCCTTCACCAGTTCACAAAACACATTCCTCCTCACAGATCTACAGGCTGCTGCTCCAATGCTTCATCACCTCTCCCCCTCCTGTACACACTGGACATGTGTCAGCCATATTAATGCTTAGATATACATCCTGTGGTCATCCAGAATTCATGGATCCTGGTTTATTACTATACAGTGACCTTTGTTTCTACAGACTTGACAGTCAAAGCACATCAGATGGGCTCAAATGGCTTGAGCAGCGTGTCCCCAGTCTTACTCCCAGCTGGCCGGAACACTGTTGATATTTTTAAAAGCAAGCTCTTTTACTGGTTCATCCTTTTATTCTATGATTTTATATATATATAGTATGATTAATACTCTTTTAATTAATACTACTTTTAATTCTGGTTTTACTCACTTCCAAACATTTCCTTTCTTTTAGCATTTTATTATTTTATCTTCATCTTTATTTGATTTTTAATATCCTACCTTAACACAGGTCCTCTGCTTAAGTATTTTATTATTTTAACTTAATCACTCTATCGTTATCTTTGCTTTCCAGTCTTCAGTGTTTCCTTAGCGACAATTTATGAGACTCATGACAGTGTTTCCTCACTTCCTGTTATCTTATTTTTTTTTTTTATTGTTTTTGTTTATTACTTTTCATCATTTATTGTTCTGTGTGTAAATGGGTATGTGTATACGTATAAAGTCTTATTGATTGAGTGATTTGCTGCATGTAATTTCCCTACTTTGTTCCTGAATTTCATGTCTGTCTCTACTGATTCCATCTAAAAAAAAAAGGCATCATATGATCAAAAAATAAAAGATCATTCTTGACTGTCAGTGTGGAGGGGTTCAGAAAGCCTGTTCCAAGTTGGCAAAATACCCCAATTAATTAAAATCTGTGGCCTACAAATCTCTTATTGAGCATGATAAAATGAGCAATTTATTTATTTATATGATACTGACAGAGAGGAATTAATATTATTTTCACTGTTTGTTTGTTTTTACTTAAGTCTCCGTGTTCTCTGCAGCTGCAGCACACATACACACACACACGCCCCAGTCAGGACACAGTTAGTCACAGAGCAGTAACTAAACATGTGGTCAAAGCTCTTCAACCCCTCAGCACAGCAGAATCTCTGGTTTATGTTTCTCTCACTGTCGGTGTCATGCTTGACTGGTAATGGGTCCCTAAATCATATAATCACTATTAATTGTCAAATGAATTGTATTATTATCATAGTTAGAATACGCTAGATTCTTAAATATCAAAGTTGAAGTCTGTTTTGTTATTGTACTGAGTGAAATAGATGTCTTTCCCCATCAAACACACTACAAGATTCAGCATTCAAAAGGATTTGAATCCAATAAGCTGATTCGTAACTGGGTTCTGATTCTATAAAATGTCATCCAACCCCATCCCTAAATGTGCTGCTCACGGTTCTACAGTGTTCCAGAAAATCCCATGAGCACTGAGGAACCTGGACCCTGATTTACCTGGCTTGGGTTTGAGGGTATGAAGGTATTTGCAGTCCGTCTGGCTGAGGGCAACCACGATGACTGAAGACTGGCTGGAGGAAGCAAAGAGTTTGGAGGAGTCAGAGGAGAAGCAGAGCTGCTGGGCCGAACGAAGGTCCTTGGGGAGTTTGGAAACCTGGAAGGAAGAGAAAGGAGACAGAGGGGTGAGCTTCATGATCCTCATTCATTACCTATAGACAGTCTGTATGTAGGGAGCAGCAGGATCAGTGTTGAGGAGCCCACCTTGGTGATGCTGATGTTGTTGTTGCTGTACTGCACTCTGTAGAGACGGACACTGGAGACAGTTGTGTACGCTATCCAGCCTCCACATGGAGACAAAGCACTGCAGCAGATATGATCCTCTCCCTGCAGAAATCAGCACACAGTCGGCTTTTTGTTTCAATATTCTCTAAAGTCAAAGATAAAATAAACAGGCACAAAACAGCCAAAGGCAACAATGTCATGTGACATTAATATGGACCTTCTTGAGAACTGCAGATCTACAAATAATGTTGAATTTCACAATAATAATAATAGAGACCAAAGTCTTAAATTAAGTGAAAAAATAACCTATGCTGTTAAGGTTAAAGAAAGATTATGTGCACAAAAACAAATACTACATGGTTAAGGTTTGGTAAAAGCTGCAGTAACTGATTATAGCCACTTGGGGGCAGGAGAACAAGCTGAGAACATAATGTTGACATGTTATCAAAGTACAAAGTTGTTATGATGAATGTGTTAGCAGACAGCTGACACACAGTAATATTACCATTCAGTTGGGGTCGTGTTTTTGTCAACATTTACTTTCTTTTTAGCTCTGGTTCGCTCTGTTTAGCAACCTCTAGCTCTTTAGTTAAATACTCCACTGTTTTCAATCAACCAACCAAGTACAAAGTTAAGACAAGTTATGTTGACTTCCACTATGGCTATCACAGTAAACATTACACAAATACACACCACCTTTTCAGAATAAAAGCCTTGATATCACTGAAAATAATAGCCAGTTATTTTCTAACACGGATGGTTACAGCAGAGTTAAGCTTCCACTGACATCAGGTTTCTATAATGTAAAACAAAGACAGACACGACACATTGAGTGCACACCTTCCGCTTCAGATGGATCAGCTTCTCTGGTTTCCTCTTCACAGGGAGACTGTCACCAGGCTTCCCTGTTAACACACAGTACGAACTAGCACAATTATTTCACTGTAACAACTGTTCAGTCAGATAGAGTTCCCTTTTAACAAATGCTTTTCCTGTTTATGTAGTTTTCACCATCACTTTTACTGCTTGCAATGTTCTGCATTATACTATGTCTTTGTGGGCGTGTGTGTGTGTGTGTTTTCTTCACCATGTCCTTCGCTCTCCCCTAATCTCCACAGCTCTAAATGTTCAGGGAACTGGAAGAGCAGCAGTCCTGCTTTCTTTGCACAACACACCAGACTTCTCTATATGGAAGACAGACAAGTAGTTAACATGTTACCATGAGTCATGATCTACTTACAGGTGTTCTCATGTACATATTAAATCATTTTAAACTATTTAAAAAACAAAAAATTACATTACGTCTTACATTTATTTGCGGTTAGTACAAAACATGACACAAAGAATAAGATTAAAGCCCTTTTCAAATATTCCTCTTGAACTCTAATAATAATTTGTTGATATGTTGAAATGTACTCACATGTGGGAAAGCTATTTTGCGTAGTGATGACTCTTGGGTGTTCTTCTCCACTTTGTCCAACAGGGGTCGCACTACCAGCTGAGTGTCCATACCTGAGCACAAAGATCAAAACAGCATCTTCACCTTCAACTTGTCATATAACAAGATTACATTTAAGATGACTGTATAATATATTACACAGTACATGTTTCAACATTTTGGACTAAAAGCAGGCATCTATTATAACATACAGGGTGTCTGAATTAATAAGTGAAATAAGTGCTTCTACATATTTGATTAACTGAGGTATTGTTGCATGACATTGGATTACATCATTGCAAAAGTTGAGCCAGGTTCAACTTTTCTGCTGAAACCCTATTGTGGTCTTGTTGAAATGAATCAGAAGGACCTGATTTTGCACACAGTGCTTTTGTTGGTCAGAACGCAGCCTTAGAATCTATAGTCATGGCTTGATGAAGAACAAACCCAAACAGCTCCGACATGTACATAAAGCAGTTGCTGCTGACAATAGTGTAAACAAGCATTCTGTGAAGCTGTACTCAATGCTAACGCTAGCATGGCAATATGTTAACAATAATACCAACATGCTGATGTTTAGCAGGTGTAACATTTATCAAGTTCACCATCTCAGTTTAGTATGGTGGTATGCTAATGATTGCTAAAAAAAATAAAAAATTTGACCAGATGATTCAGCAATAGAGTTATGGGATCAGTTATCAGAGTATCATGTCACAGTTATTACAATTCATCCTGAGGGGAACGTGAACATTTGTACCAATTTGTACGGCAACCCATCCAATAGTATGGGTAGCGATATTTCATTCTGGAACAGACTGAAAAACTAAACCGAATGACAAAAAACTAAAATATGGGCTAATTTAATGATATTCAGGAATGTCACTTCTTAATAGTTGAACTGGCCATCAAAAATTCTATGGCTATGAACTTTAATTCAGAATTCATGTATATACGTGATCGTATGAGCAGTTGTTGAGAAAATTGAAATACAGACAGAAATTTCTCCATTTATAGTTAGATAAACATACAGTATATTTCCATTTACTTGAATGGAGAAGTGGTCTCAGACTTTTGGGTCCCACTGTGTATATATATCAATAAAAAACCAACAGCAGATTTCACACTGACCTCCAGAAACCACAGCAGTCTCAGTGTGGGCAAGTGCCCTCACATCATGTGAATGGTTTTTAAAAGTCCTAGTTCGGACCCACTCCTTATCCTGCTGGCCCACAGTGGAGGAGAGGAACTGGAATTGGATGACGGTGCCTTCTGATGTCCCAGCTATGAGACTGCTCTCATCCTGTTGAATATTTAGAAAGTTTAACATCACTAATAGGGTTGTGTACCTTAAGCTGCTTAGAAGTTGTGTAATGTGTTTACCGGTGAAACAGAAAGAGCCAGAACATCCCACTTTGTAACTAGGTGAGTTCTGATCAGAGTTCCTGTGAATCCGTCCCAGATCTGGACCTTTCCTGCAGAATCACCGCTAATGATGGTGTGGTCAGACAGGAAGGCAACGCTCCAAACCACCACCTCTTTACTCTTGGATGATCCAACACCTCTCTCCACCAGTAGTCTGTGTGTGGCGTGGCCTGAAATCAGCAAAAGCAAAAGCAGAAACTGAAACGTCACAATTATATCGTTGGGGGATATTTAGAGAATACATGGAGTTTATGGTTAACAGACACCACATTCACCTTCTGAGGTATAATTTGAATATTTTTACCGATCGTTGGCTCTGTGATAAATCACCTCATACTTGAGTTCTGTCTGCTTACCTGTCTCAGCATCAAAGATTCTGATCATGTCCATCATACCAGCAGCAATCAGTGTGCCAGAGGGATGCCAGGACAGAGATATAATACGACCTTGAGGAGCAGATATTGGACACTGGTCAAGTCAAATAATAAGTGCGTTGCAGGACACATAATTGCAATTAAATATAATATGCACATAGTTGTGGTAAGTAACTACAAGCACAGGTGTAGATTTATGAATATTACTGTCAGCTGAAAAGCAAAAATACCACTGAATGAGCTTGTTCTCTTACCTTTCTGCCTGTCAAGGTTTCTTTGAAACTGAATCCTCTCCTCCAGTATTTCAAACATCTTCACTGTCCCATCCTCACAACCGACCTGACACACAAAACATTCACTCAATTAACAATCAGGGCTAGACGAGGCTCAATACTTCAATTCTAACATAGGAAACATCACCTTCCTGGATAAATTTGCGCACGGGGTGCAGAGTGAATATAATATCAGGAATGTCTTGACTGACCGCTAGCATTGTTCCCTGGTTGTTGCTACTAATGGTCCAGGTTGGTCCTCCATAGGCCACCACAGTGTACTTGGGCCTCAGGTTCTCCAAGTCATATTCTGTGATCTCTCCATTCAAACCAGCACTGAAGAGCCGCTGGTTCACCCAACACAGAGCCTCAACAGCCCTGCTGTCCTGTCCTGGTATCACCTGGGCATCAAAATCAAAACAAGTCTGGAGGTTATTCCTGCACATCTTACCTCTTGCTGTAAGTCTCTGCCTTCAAGCCACAAACCCAGCTCTTATAGGAGGACACTGCTATGCAAACCTCCACTGACAAATAAAGCAGTTTAGTGTTTCTCCGCTTATCTTCAGAAGTGTGTGGAAAGGAGAATGACACTAGAGTTTTTAAAAGTAGAAATATAGAGCAGTCTTTAAAAAGGCATACATGTAACACAGTTAAAATGTTGTTAGTTTTAATGTTCACCGTTCTTATAACTTTATTGATCAAAGTGCTGCCAGTTAGTTGTTACTACAAAGCACCGACTAGAGCAGAAGACTGTAGACACACAGGTGGACCATGTGAGGAGGTTATCTGGACTTCCTCTGAGTTGTTACCTTTTCTTGAAAGTAATTGTCAGCGAAGTTGAAGATCTCCACAGCTCCATCAGCCCGGGCTACGGCCAGCCGCTCGGACCGGCTGCTAAACGCTATGGCTCGGATAGCACTGGGCATGTAGTCGAAGAACCGAACACGGTGAACCTTAAACTCACCCATTTTCACTAGGAAGAAAACACAAACAGGCAGGTTAGCAAAGGTGGGACTGGCGACAGCGTGGACAGCCTGTAAACATGCTGTCCGTTAGCTCAATCTAAACCTCTTAAACACCTTAAACACACGGACTGCAGAGTGTTTGTTTAACAACTCATTAAGTAAAACAGTATTCATTATCACTATAAAACATATTTACCCTTTGTTTTCTCCACAGTCGCTAAACTTTCTTCGCTAGCAAATTCACAGAGTAGAAAACATCAGGAGCCACGTTGAGGACCTTTGAACCGGTACCGATTCACGCAGCACGCTGCGGAAATGCGTCATCACTCTGATACAGCTGGCGGGAAATAGTATTGAAACGTGAACACTGACTAAGTTGTGGTGGTCGTTGTTGTTAAAGCTGCTGTGTTGGGACTGACTTTAAGTAAATGGATTGATAAATTATCTTTTTTGTTTTGTTAATGTTAATGTTACACGACGGTCTTCGCTGACTGACGGCACAATGGTTCAAATAGTCGTAAGGTAAGAATGGTGAACTAACTGCACTTAAGCTCACTGTTACCTGGTACATTTGTATTTCCAGCTACGTCAGTTTTTCGGAGGACGCCTCCAGTATCATGTAACAGAACAGTCCAGAATAAACGTTACTGAGGGATAATGTACAGCTTCGAGGGGTCATGGGTGTATGGTCGGGGTCCTGCATCACCCTCAAGGATTAATTTCCCTTTAATGACCTGTTCGGTGTACATTATTCCTCACATTACACGCTTACTTACTAAAGAAATGAAATTGATGATTTTATTGCGTCCGCTGAAGAAATAGTCCGTTAGATTCTACGGCTGGAACTGCGTCTATAGCAGTCTTACTATTTGAACAGATGCATAAAATGACCGCATCACCTTATTGAGGTATTCCGCAGCGTAACTGTCAAAGCCTGTTGACATTTTCTTCTCTTTAACCACTGCCATTGCTCACACCCTTTTCCGTTTGATGTTAATTTAATGTCTGTCTTTTTCAATTTTGTGTATTTCTCTGTCATCTAGCTATTAACCTTTACTCTCTCTTGCTTTTTCTGCGCTGTTTTCTTTTTCTCTTTTTCTGTTATTTGCTGACAACAGTTCAGCAATTACATGACTGGAAGGATACTGGGGCGAACTAGTTTTGACATTGCAGCATTGTGGGATTTTGTAATTGAGTCTTTGTAGGTATTTTAGTTGGTGTTTGTGCGTGTGTGCGTGTGTGCGTGCTCCTTCAGAGGCAGTGTGGATGGCAGCAGTCCTCCAGAATGGCTGCTGGTGGAGCTGCAGGGAGAGATGATGTCCAGACACAACTCTGGTCTGGCAGGAAATGTGATGGGAGACCTGCTCTACACCAAAGAGGTAAACAAAAGACTGCAAAGCAAAAGATGCTGTGGCCAAACCAAAAACAGCTATTTTTGCTTTTTGACAGAACCCAGGCTGTACTCTTAAGTGTCTTTGCAGAAATAATGTGCATGTAAAGCAACAATAGCAAAGGTAGTTTAGTGTCTGTCAGGAATAGGACTAGGCTTTGGCTAATCATGTATCAGTAATATCAAATATTGCTATATTCTCCAACACATGTGATATTTTTCACAATATAAAAAATAAATATCATCATATATCATGCAAGTCATCTAAAAAATCTAAAGTCACTGTCCTGGCTTCACAGAGTACAGGTACTTTATCTGTATCTAAATGCACCATTTTCTCACCTGTAGTTAATTAGAGGAGATTTAATTTCTCATCAGTTCCTTCGTCTGTATTATCATGTGTTCCTGGGAATCTCCCCATTTCTATAGTAAACATGCACTTTTGCACTTATGCAGTTGGCATATGACACTTTAATTGATGTTTTTAATTAAATGGAGTGTATGTACATTTTTACTCCTTTTTGTTTCTTATACCCCATCTCATAACATAAGGAGCTTGTGGTTTCAATCGATTAGTAGAACAACAGAAAATTAATCGGTTCATTTTTTCATTTGTCATTTTTGCTTCCAGCGTCTCAGTTGTGAGGATTTGCCACATGTCTCTTTCTTACATGATAGTAAACTCAGTATATTGAGGTTTTGGACTGTGCATCAGACAAAACAAGCAATTTAAAAATGTCATTTTGATGGACAACTTTTCAATATTTTCCAACATGTCTTCCCTGAGTCTCTGTTTTTCTTCCTCCTTCCACCAGGGGGTGCCAGTGCTGATTGTAGGACATCACATTCTGTATGGCAAGCAGGTCAAACTGGAGAAACAATTTGCTGTCCTCACCAAGCAGTCCGACCATTTGCAGGACACCCTGAGCAATCATGATGCTAACAGTGATGATGCCACACAGGTACCCATGGAAACGGACCAGCATGGGGCCACCTCCAAGTCTTACTACGTGTCTGCCCTGATCAAACGGAAGCTGATCTTTAAGACTCGCCCCAAACCCATCATTACTAATGTACCTAAGAAGGTGTAGTGGGACATGTTTCCTCACAGGGTCAGAGGTTGTGTCTGACAATAACAGACTGATCCTGCTCACCTTTACAGCTTTACAGTACTGGACTCAATATACTTCAGTTTCTGTCAACATTTAAGCTGTAGTGATTCCAACAAGAGACTTTAATGAGGCTCCTCAAGTATTAATGAATGTTGTGTTGTTCTCCTGAGATTCTTACAGATACTGCTCCATGACATGTAAATGCTGTTTCAAAGACAAAAATCACATTCTTAACAAATTACTGAATCATTTTAAGTCTTTTTTTTTTTTTTTTTGTGAAAAAAATTAATATGTAGTGTAAAATTATCTCCACTTGGCATCTAGACACATGTCTGTGTAACTTAATATGAACCAAGAATTGAAGTTTAGAGAAAAGGTTTCATAGTATGTGGAAATACATTGCAGGTGTTGTTTAGAGTTGAAAAGGCTTGTAAAATGTGTTAATTTTCATTTCATATTCAGCGTTTGTCCATATTTTCTGGAGATGTCCCACTGATATTCTCTCAGAGTTAATCACCAAATGGAGTCTGTACAGCCTCAGTGACAGCACTCATTTTTCTGTTGCAAAACATAATATTGGCACCTGACTAAAATGTTAAGTGTTGCCTATATGGTCACAATCCTGTTGATGTTATGATAAAGTAAAGAAGGGCTTTACTTACACAGCACACAGTTGCATTAAGAATAAAAAGGCAACTACAGAAAGACTGAACAGCTAAGATTAGTTTGGTAATTAATAATATGGCCATTTATTTAAATTTATAACAAAAAGAGAGTTTTTCACTCCACCAGGCATTCTCTGATAGTTCAGCAAATTTGTATTAAGCTCCATTAAAAGGGACTCCTGCACTTTACTGTCACAGTTTCATACAATTGAAGACAAAATTCAAGATTGAAGCAGCTGAGGCTGAGATAACCTGAGGCCCTAGTCCGTCTCATACCTCCCATAATGAAACTCGATGGCGTCTTTCATCAGACTCCCTGCCTGGTAAACGCTTGCATTTTTCAGACTTCATGATCCAGTCTGTAAGTCAGTATTTCAGGACTTGCTCTTCTCAACAGTTTAGGATTAGACAAAAAATTGCTTGGAGATGGTTGTGGAATGTTAAATGAAATTGCACTCCATGAATGCACATGGCCAAACCTGCAGGAATCCACGTTCACCCTCACAAATGAGACACTATTGAACTGATTTGCTCAACCAACAAGTGAGTCCCTCCTCACAGGGATCTGCTCACACCAATCTGCAATGTTTTGATGGTGGATGAGTAAACGTTTCAGTGGGCAGGATGAAGGTGGTTCTGCCGCCTCCCAACAACACTGTCAATGTGCTTAATATACTGCAGCATGGTAAAGAGACAAACAGGGATACACATCAAGAAAGCTGCAGTGTGGACCACCCTCCCTCTGACTCTTACTGAGGTTTGGACCAACACTTGACTACTAATGGAGTCCTGTAATAATCCCATCCTGCCACTAAACAATATCATCATATTCATACTCAATAAATGTCAAATGTTGTGGCAGAAAAGAATTTTAAAGTGAATACTGACTTAATGTGTTGCCAGAGTATTCACTGTGTGTGTGTGTGTGTGTGTATATATGTGTGTGTTTTTGTTTGGTGGAGGCGGTTCCCATGTTGAGGTGTAACCCCAGCAGTAAAAAGCCATCCTCTTAGAGCATAATGACTGAATGGACTGATTCATTCAGCTGCTCTAAAGCTTCTTACCCCTTTCCTCAGCATTCAGACACCTCCCACACACACACTCACTAAAGCATGCTGGCAACATGTTTACAAAGTCATACCTAGAAGAACCATGTTGTTACAGGAAAAGCTCAGTCATTTTAATTAGTGACTGACATTTCTCACATAACTTCAATAGTGAAACAGGTCTTGGTGTGTATTCATTCTGCAGAGTGGTGTGGAGTGAAATTCAGTGAAATAATGTAGCTTTTCATTCAGATCAAATCAGACCATGTTCATAGATGTGGGCAGTGATTCAGTGGCACTGTTGACATATAAACTATTGAAGTTTAAAGCCAATCCAACAGCTCCCAGAAGTGCAATGTTGATTATACATTGGAATAAAAATGTGTTTGATAGAACAAATAACACACCTGGTATACCATAGTTATTTGTAGCAGCATTAAACGAATGCTTTGCTTACAGTAGAGCAAACAAGCAGCTGTCATTGGCATCAACGTATATTTAAAGAATCTGTCGCTGCGGTCATTCAAACACCAACTTTTCCATCTCAGCCAGCCATAAGAACAAATTTGCAATATATATATAGATATATCTATATCTATATATATATATCTATATATATATAATCTCTGGTGTTTCCACTCAGGCATGGCACTACATGGCCTGAAAATCAATAGGATGTTTAACCTCAGGACCATGAATATCTACAGCAAGTTTCATGAAAATCAGGCCATTGGTTTTCAACATACAATACCTTGTGATGGACCAAACTGAGGAGCAAGTGGAAACTTTAGCTGGATGGTGGAGCTCAATGAACCTACAGGAGGTCAGCATGAGAAATCATCCTCTAGAGAAAAGTATACCCACACCAAATGTCATGAAAACCCTGTCACCAGCAGCTGAGATCGCCTGCTCCAGACCAAAGCGTAGGACAGAATGACCTTGATGCCAGCAGGATGTAAGGTTGGATTAACTGGTGCATCTGGCGACCTAGTCGTTCAGACACATACAGTTATAGCCAAACATATTGGTACACCTGCACTTCATTCAGAAAATTGTTGCAATCACAAATGCGTCGATATTCATGTTTATTTCTTTGTTTGCATTGAAACAACCCAAAAGAGCAGAGGAGAAAAAGTGATATCTGAAATCATTCTACAAAGAACTCCAGAAAGGGACCGGACATTATTGGCACCTTTTTAAAATTGTAAGTGATAATTGGATTGGAACACACTGAGTATGGAGAAAAGAAAGAAGAGCAAAGAACTGTGAAGGGATTTAAGACCCAAAATTGTGGGAAACAATGGAAGATCTCAAGGCTCCAAGTCTATCTTCAGAGATCCAGTGTGTGCAACGTCCTTAAGAAGTTTACAGCCCATGGCACTGACCTCCCTGGATGTGGACAGAAGTGAAAAATTGATTGCAACAAATTATTGTTTGAATGATGGGAAAAGCACCTCAATCAACTTCCAAACATATTCAAGCATTATGGCATTATCCATCACCATCTAAATCAAACAGGAAACTATGGTAGGAGACCCAGAAGGACCCCACTGTTGACTCAGAGGCATGAAAATGCCAGACTGGAGTTTGCCAAATTACCTGAGGAAGCCAAAATCCTTCTGTGAGAACATCTTGTGGGCAGATGAGACCAAAATAGTACTTTTTGGTCAAGCATATCATAGCACCATTTACAGAAACTGAAATGAGGCCTTCAAAGAAAAGAACACAGTCCCTGTGGTCAAACATGGGGGAGGTTCACAGATATTTTAGGGTTGCTTTGCTGCTTCTGGCACCATTGCCTTAACTGTGTGCATGGCATCATGAAATCTGAGGGTTACCATAGAATTTTGGAGCTCAATGTAAGGCCCAGTGTGTCCATCAGAGGTCATGGGTCCTCCAGCGGGACAATGACCCCAAGCATGCTTCCAAGAGCACCCAGAAATGGTTTAAGACAAAGCGGAGAGTTCTGACGTGGCCAGCAAAGAGTCCAGATCTAAACCCCATAGAACAGAAGGGGAAATCTCAAAACAGCAGCTGGGAGAAGGCACCCTGCAAACCTGGGAGACCTAGAGCAGTTGGTCCAACATTCTAGTAGAGGTTGTCCATGGTTACAGGAAGCGATTGATTTCAGTTATTGTTTCCAAAGGTTTGCTACCAAATATTGAGTTGAGGGTGTCAATAATGTCCTGTCCATTTCTGGAGTTCTGATTGGGGTGATATCAGATTTTTTTCTCCAATGCAAACAAAAGATAAACATGTTTAAGTGATAGTTCAGGTTATTTGATGTGGGGTTGTGTGAGGTACTTATCTATAGTCAGTGAATTACCTGCAATAGATTTGGAGCAGCTCTCAGTTTAGAGAAGCAGCAGGAGAAGCTGAGAGATGAGCTACTGTGGGCGGGGACAACAAAAAACATATTGTAGCCCACAGAAAAAAGCTGATATCACTTTAAATGTCCGCTTTATTTTGAATATATCCACCGCTTTATCTGCTGTCAAATAGCCCTTTCCTTTTGAACTGCTTTTTTTCAACAATTGACTTCACCGTATTACTACGCACAAGCACAGCTACACTTGGCTCTCTCTGACTTCATCGGTCCGATCTGCGGAGTAATACAGTGTGCATAGTTTTACGATAATTTAATGGTTTACAAACTGTAGTTCCAAAGGAAAGTGCTCTTTGACGACAGATAAAAGGTGATAAACAGATAAGGAGGAAATCTTTCAAAATAAAGCGGCATTTAAACAGATTTTTTTAGTGGCTGCACATTTCCAGCTCAAGTTGCTTCTCTAAAGTGGCAGCATTCTGATCTGAAACTACTGCAGGTAATACAGTGACTATGGATAAGTACCCCACACAACCTCACATCAAATAACCTGAACAATCACTTTAATACCAAAGCATTTGTAATTGTATTCTGGGGTAAGTGCAGGCGTGTCATGACTGTACATGTAGCCTATCATATAATTGCAATGACCCTGGTCTGATTCCAGCTGGGGACATTTGTTGCATGTCATTCCTCTTTCTCTCTCCATTACATCTCTATTGTAACTGTTGAATGGAGGAAAAATACAAGAAACAAAAGTTGGGTAATCCTCTGCCAACATGAAAACACAAGGATCATTTTCAGTTTGATGTTAAAGTGTTGTTTTGCTCTTGAAAGGCCTCGTGCTCCTGTAGTTTTCTTGAGTCAGATTTAAAACAAACATGGTAAATATATCCCTTACAAACTGCCCTCTACTACACCCTCCAGTATAAAAAGAAAACAGCATCATATGTCCACTAAAATAAACCCCCCAGACAGTCTCTAATCTCTGGGCCTTTCTCTGTAGTTGGCCTGGTGTCTCCTCTCATTCAAGCCTCTCACTTATCTGAGGCTGGACTCTTCAGCATCTTAGCAACAGAGACTGATCCAAAGCCAAGTGAACTGATCAGAGTTGAGCAGCTGCTACTGCTCCACAGTTACCTGTTTACTTCCACTGACACAAGGGAGATTATAACAGAAGGTCTTAGGCCTTTTAATGTTAAAACACTGATGCTCTGGTCTAATTAATGCTTGAAAATGTATTTCTCTTCTTTTTTTTTTTTAAGCGAACAGCGAACATAGTTCATCGCAGTGAACAAAAGATATAATCGGGATATTATAAGGGCATGGGGGGAAAATGTCAGTGCTGTCATTTAAATCATGGAGACATTCTCTATTTGGTATGAATGGGAAGATTGTGCCCAAAACAGGAAGCATTTTTAATGACTTAGGAAAGTTCCAGCATCCTGTGATGCCCAGAGAGAGAAACAATCAAGAAGGAAGATTTCCTGCATCGCTGCGTGACCATCAGACAGAGACAGCCCATAAACACAATGTCTCTTTAATGTATGTGTCCTTGTTGAACTTTCAAGTTTAAACTCATACAGCCCGCTCAAAGTAAAACCACATGAACATAACTTAAATGGCACAAAGAGGAAATGTCCACCGCTGTCAGTGTAGATACAGATATTGCTGATGGTGTCATACTTGACAGGTGGACGGATCTGAGATCATATGACATTTGAAAACAATAAAGAAACAGTGAAAGCAAAGCCCTCACTTCAGAGAAATCTCTTTGGTTTTCAGTCTTTACTCTGCTGTTGATGGGATGAATAAACAAAGTCTAACACCTCATGTAAAACGACACAAATGTCCAGTTAAGAGAATAGAGTCCAGTAGTAAAACTTTACTGTTACACAAACATAATTTGGCACCTTCACAATATGTAAAAGTCACCTTGTAAAAAACCTCTGAATGAAACCACTGTAAGCTGAGAATTGGACCACGATGTACAACGATAAGTTTACTCATTTGACACTGCTCAACAGCACCAAAGATACAACTGCATGTCACATGTTGAGATATGTTAGATTGTCTGGTCTGGTAGATCACAGCTGCTTCACAAAATACAGCTGGAGCAGATGATTGTGCTGTTCATGGCTGATGAGAGAGCTGGTTCCACACCGCTGCATCCAGCTGCGAGACGTGGGCTCAAGAGAACTTCTCATACTCTCTTTAGAGTACTTCCTTAAAACTGGTACGTCTCAGAACGTACACTTAAAGGATCGCTTTGGAGTTCTAAGGTCCATCTGAATACACTACTCACATGACTATACCGTATGTATGTTGCTGTAATGATTGCTCCTGTCCGTACTGTCTCTGTAGCAACGCCTTCCCTCTGCGACTGCACTTTTCAGTATCCTTTAGCTGGGGCTCACGAAGTGGAAACACAAAGAGGGATTTTTTTTTTTTTACAGGGAAATACTCTCAGTGTGCTGAAGCTTCATATTCAGTGGTGATTTGTAACACATTACTTAGTATTTTCACTAGCAAGTAATGTAAAAGGGTTATAATTTGACAATCAGTAACTATATCAGAGTTATTAATCCCAGCAAAGCTCTGTTACTTTGACGTTTGGGGGTAAGCTTGTTCGCTGCCTTACCGAGAGTTTGATGGAAGGTACTCCAGGTCTTTCTATTATTTTCCCTTCAGTCAGTTTTTCCCTCGTCTCTGTACTTTTATAAAATATATTCATAAAGCACCAATATCAGCACATTTTTACGCTCAGGTTGACACGTTTTCAACTTGTGCCGACAAATTCACATCTGTTGGTTTATGCCAAGCCGGGTCTTTAATTTGATTCTGTCGGCAGCTTCACTACATACAATTCCTTTACGTTTCTGTCTGAACACCATCCAGATGAGCTCCAGTGTCTAAATCCGTCTGAGGTTCACTTCCTGTCTGAAAAAGGGGTGCGTTGACTAATCTGAGAAAACTACCTTGCTATTTTGTTGATTGTTTTTTTTTTTATAATAGAAGCTCAGTTCCGTTACATTTGATCCCATCTCATCTTTATTAAAATGAAGAACACGAAAACTGACCAACCAGTAACTAAGACCTTTATCTCTCTTACTCGCACCCTCCTGTCAGTTTAACAGCTAACCTGTACCCACAAACTACCTAATGTTCTTCTGAGCACGTCACTATCACATCAGTGTATGAACACTTGATAACCTGGGTCAGTTCGGTTTGGTTTGGTTTTTCAATATGAAGCACCATTGAGAATGATATAAATGGGGAAGCTGTATGGATCCAGTCATCTCTGAGTCTTCCCCAACTGGATTCACTTCCTGCTGCTCAGATTGCAGATTCACACCTTTTTTTTTTTTAGCACCAGTGATGAAGATGTGAATGTGTTCCTGGTTCACAGCTCATCACTCTAGCAGTGCACAGGGTCAACAGAGACCGTGCTAGAGTCATACTGCAGTGAAATGTGGCGCGAATGTCCTACCAGTCTCCCTGGTAACAGGTTTATGCCTCCGCATATGGCAGGTGATACTGCTCCTCCCTCTTGTTACACCGTTTGGCTATGATTGCAAGGTAGAGCACCAGCAGAATGAGCCAGTAGCAGGCGTAGAGTATTGTCCCTGTTATCAACAAGGCTTTCTCTGTCTCACTGAACGGCTCCTGTGTTTCACAGTAGACCGTATACACCACACCTCCGAGCAGCACCATCGCCCACACTGTGACGGGCACGGCGCCAATCAGGTTGACGACGATCTTCCTGCGGCCCGAAGTTCCCCATCCAGCCTTGTTGATGGTGAGCAAGGCAAATATTTTGGCAGGGAGCAAGCTGGACATGTAGATCAGAGAGTAGAGCGACATGAAGATCATGACCAAGCTGCCACGCAGGAAACAGGCGTACGTTGCCTTCACCATCCCGACCAGCTGCACGGTCAATAGAAAGAGCAGGATGTTCCACAGCCTTCCACGGTAGAAGAGATGGATGACGGTGGCAACCAAGAAGAAGGGGAAGAAGCCGGTGACCACAGACTCGTAGGTCATCCAGAGGCTGTGCTTGTGGAACCACAGGGCGTTGTAGAGCCACTCACGGAAGTAGGACTTGCTCCATCTAGTCTGCTGGTTGAGCCAACGCAGATACTGGGTTGGCGTCTCAGTCTGGCACTGCGATCGCGCCGTGAATTTCGTCTTGTAGCCGAAGCTGAGCACCCGATTGGTGAGGTGGCGGTCATCGCCAAAGCTGCACTTGGAGCCCAGGAAGGTCTGGTGGTACCAGGGCTCCAGGAAGCGCTGGAGCAAGGAGTTCCTGTACATCCCCAGGGGGCCACTGATACACTGGACACATCCAAAGTAGGACTGGCAGGCTCGCTCAATGTTGAACGCCATCCAGTAGCGCACACTGCTCAGGAAGGAGATCCACGAGTCGTACTTGTTGAGGATCTGGAGGATGGAGAAAGTCAAGAAAGGAAGAAAATGAAACTTCCCCAAGACGCTTCAGTCAACCTTCATTACACTTTCCACGACTGATGGTATTATATTTCACCTGTACGTCTCCACCGACTCCTCCCACCATCGGATCTTCCTCAAGGATCTTCAGCATTTCGATGGTACATGCTGGATCCAGAACTGTGTCTGAGTCACACACCTGAAAAAGACACACACACACACACGCACACACACACACACGCACATGCACACATACACACACAAGGTGTAATAATGCTGAGGGTCACACACACAGACACTGCCACTTACAGGCACTGCTGAGATGAAGGTTGCAGGTGTTGCAGAGCACTGAGTGGTATTAATGCTAAAATCCATGAGAGAAATGAGAGGCTGCTGACGGAGATCCCAGCTGGTTGATTGTGACTATGCAGCACCAGGTGAGCTGTGGACATGACCTTTGACCCAAAGCAAGGGTACAGAGGGTGCCATGCAACCGCTGGCTATAAAGAGTGGTCCATCATTTTGGAATGCAAGCAGTTAACTCTTTATATTAGGGGTCCGATGTTGATTTTCAGTTGACTTGGTTGACTGTTCATTTAAAATATAGTTTTCAGATTTCCTGTTTGGTTTAAATTTAGTCTTAAAATTTCTTTTAAGGTTTGTCTGCTCAAACACATACATCCATAGAGACACATTTATTGTGTGGTACTGTGCTTATAGCACAATTTAAGCAACCAAATTGAAAGCTGCTGGTATTTGTACCACACACAAAAGTTTTACGTAGGAACAGTTTCCTCTTTAAAATCTATTTAATTCAGAGGCATGTGGACGTCTGTATGCACCAGCACAGAGGCGAGGCAGATATCAAATCAGCATGCAGATGAATATAAATTTGTCTCCCTGAAGACTTTGTGTAATGTGATTATTTCTGGCTATAACTACACACACTCAGCCAACCCACACTCAGTTTTAGTGCAGGGCGTTCTGCCAATATCATCCGTTAGCCATGCAAATGACTGGGGATTGTAATCCTGGTCTGTCTGGTGTCTGTCAGTCAGTCCACCACTTTGGTCCAAACTGAAATATCTAATAAATATAACAAGTGGATGGATCATAATGACATTTTGTACAAACATTCATAGGCCCCAGAAGACCCTCTGACTTTCTCATCTAGCACTGACGGCCAGTCAAAGTTTTCACTTCTCCTGTGAAAAATATCAACGTCTAGTTGGTGGATTGACACAAACTGGTGGAGACATGCAGACGAAATGAGTGGAGAAACAGGATGACGATGGCTCCGTCCACAGGACACCAGGGGTCACTGATGGTTTGATGACTGTAAAAATGAAAAGTGAATCATATGCTGTGGCCTTCACAGTCACCTGATCTCAAAAACAATCCGACACCTATGGGAAACTTTGCATCGACACGTTAGACAACACGCTGCACCACCATCATCAAAACACCCAGTGAGGTCAATATGTTTTGGAAGAATGGTGTTCATCCTCCAGTAGAGGTCAGAGACTTGCAGCATCAATGTCAAGGAGCAGTGAAGCTCTGCCGGCTTGTAGTGGCCCAACACCTGGCTGAGGCACTTAATGTTGGTTTTTTCATTTATTTTGTAAATTTGTCACCTGTCTGTACACTACATGGTGATGATTTATCCCACTGACATCCCCTGACTTTTCCTCAAGGGACCACCATTAGGTTGACATGTTTGATAGTAAATGAAATGTCCTGACAACTGTTGGATGAATTGCCATGAAATTTGGTTCGGACATTATTGCTCCCCACAGGATGATTTGTCACAACTTATTATATTCCTTTACTTTGGCGTCATAAACTGAGATGCACATGGAGTAAACAGGTTACTCAGAGCCCTGACCCAAAAACCCCAAAAATTGGCTATCAAAGCTTGCAGTGTTGAATTTAAGCAGTTGGTACCATATACTTATATATGTCAAGCCTTAACACACAGCAAGCAAAGCAAAACAAACAGGATACACCAGTAACAGAGGAGGAAGATATTAGAATCCAAGCGAGACAAGCGATTCGACTTATAAGAACAGAAATTTGAAACACTTATGATCTCACAACAAGCATAAAATCAGAGACTGGAACTTTTGGAAGACAAAGCATCTGATCATGAGGACTGTAGTGAGGTTTTGAAACGATGAAAAGGTGTAAGGACAGAGTCTAAATGAAGGTTGATGTTCAACAAAGTAATCAAGTTAATGGGGAAACCGGCTTTCCTTTAAAGTCTCAAGCAGAAGAGTTAACTGTAGTGACATCATCAGCTCAGATCTTCATGTGTAAAACTTTAAACTCAGACATTTTATCACGCGGACATTCATGCAAACTCTTTTCTGTCCGTGGCTCTTACCTGCACATAGTCCACACTGTCCCCCAGTGCTTTAAAGGCAGTGTACATCACCTCTCTTTTCCCTCCCCACTCCTGCATGACGCAGGAGTAGCGACAGCCTCTGACCAGCCGAGCAACTCGTGCTGCCTCCTCCATGTGCACTGTGCTTCTGCCTCCACCTCCAACACCACCTCCTCCGCTCCCATCACTGTGGTAGTTTCCCTTCCACACCAGACTGCCGGCCTGGTCAGCGCCCCCCATCACCTCCTGGAAAATGTCCATCATGTAACGGTCCTCCGGCCGGTTCCCATCCACCACCAGCACCACCTTCAGGCCAGGGAAGGAGATTCGACGGATGCTGCGCAAGCACTTCCTCAGGTAGTCCGGGTCCTCCTGGTAGGCGGCGATGCAGAGGGCCACGGAGCGACGGAGGTGCTGGGGCCGGGCAGGGCTCCTCATGCGCCGATGCTCCAGGAAGGCGAAAAGGCTCTGAAGGAAGAGGTGGAGGGAGAGGAAGGCACCATAGAGGCCGAAGGACAGGTGGTGCTGTTCGGTGTGGATGAACTGGTAGCCTTTATAACGAAGAAACACAGTGGAGAAAGTATAAAACAACATGACCATCACTTGTTTTGACACATGTACTTGCTTCTTTATGTCTGTATGAAATTCACAAGTTAACCTGTGACATAGGCCAGCAGGATGGTGAAGAGGACCACTGCAGCAAAGAGGGTGGTCACCACGATGTTCAGCGTATTCCTGCAGCGAGAGGGCATCTGAGGGTGAAGGAGGAGGTGAGGGAGCGGAGACCCCGACAAGATGTCAAGGTGAGAATCAGAAAGTAAGAGGGGTCGGGTTCAGGGGACGGATAGAAGGAGGTCAAAGAGTTTATGTGACAGAGGGTGAACGTGCAGGGAGAGGGAGAAGACACAAGGTAGGAAAGAGAAAAAAATACATTACAAGTGGGTTAACTGTGTTTATATTGGCTGCCACTTCAGTACCACACATGGGAGGAGCCTGAGCATGTTAGTCAGAACAGGGGAGGGGCAGTTTCAGCAGTATGTGGGGTGGCTGTGGCTCAGGAGGTAGAAATTGGTTCAATTTCCTGCTCCCCTAGTCTGCAAGTGTGTGGGGCAAGATACTGAACCCTGAAATACCCTGATGTGTCAGTGTGTGAATAGGAGTGTGTGCTAGCAAAGTGCTATAAATGAATGTGTGTGTGTGTGAACGGGTGAATGTGACTTCCACTATTCCAAAGTGCTTTGAGTGGTCTGTAAGACTTTGCAGATAGCAAAATAAATCTGGCCCATACTCGGGCCACATGCTTGTTTTCTTTTGGCCCAGTGTACTATTATAATCATAATTATAATTATAATTATATTATATATTATAAAGAGAAGGTCTAGACCTGCTCTGTTTGAAAAGTGCCTTGAGATAACCTCTGTTGTGAATTGGCGCTTTACAAATAAAAATGGACTTGACTTTACAATGCGCCTGGTTCCATGGCCCAAATCTGGCCCATATACATCATGATTGTCAGATGCTGCTTCCACATCTGGACCAATTCTGGCGCACACACAGGAAATCAGTGAAGGATAACAGTCGAAATCTGCCCAGATGACATGTGGAAGTATAAGGGCCAGACTCGGGCCGAGGCCCCAGGTATACTGTATGTTGGGCCAGAAGTTTCATTTTGTTTTCTGGGTAAAAAACAGCTACATACATGCAGTCGCAGTCCTTTACCATATTTGAAATGTGAGCCGCTGTCAACACACCAGCATCAGTCTCTGTTGTCATGGAGAAACGGCGCCAGAAGCAACAGAGGAGATACTAAGATACTGGTTTACAGCTGCTGCTGCTACTATAACTAGTACTAGTCAACTACTACTGCAATTAGAAGCACTAGTGATAAATCCTCTAATAGTAATATTACTTGTATTATTGCTGTAATTTCTGCTGCTGCTACTTTTAGGAAGAAGAAATAATATCACTGCATCTAATATCACAACTAGAACCATTACCACTGCTGCCTCAGTCCACCACAGCTATGCAAACACAGTGTAGAGAATAACATGATGTCAAACACTATCAAAGAGTATTTGACTCCGATTTTATGGATATCCAATCACGTTAAGTGAAAGAACTTACAGTCGAACACTTCCTGAACATCTGTTCCCCTCTCCTTCATCTTCCTCCCTCACCCCTCCTCCCTTCAGCCCCTCTGGCATTCCCTTCTTCCCTCTGGGTTAATAGCTCTAAATAAAGGCCAGCTAGGATTTGGCCAGTGCTCAGGACCTGTTGAACAGAGGAACAATCCTGCCCTTTCATTCATGAAATTACCCCCCCCCCTGCCCTCACCTGGTCAGGCCCACGCAGGAGAGACAGACTCATATTTATATTGTTACACTCAGCTCAGCTCAGCTCTGTGGGACCCACCGGCACAGACAGAGTTATCTGCCTCTCTGGGTGGATGTACAAGTTTACATCCTGGCACTGAATCACTCTCCAGGAGAAACTGTCTGCGATATTCAGGTCCTGACAGACAAGGGAATTTTTGTAAATAGAGATTCTTGGAACACACACAAAACATTTTTTTTCTCAACCATTGTTTTCATGTTTCATCACATCAGGTTCTTTAGGATAATCTCAAAACCAGAACTTTCCACCGAAACCTCTGTTCTCTCCTTTCCTGCTTTGTATTTATTTTCCTGGAACTGACTCCTGCTTGACTATTCTGGTCATACTGGCATCATGTTTATCCTGTAGTTGCATTCAGGTTCCTCCTGGATAAGAGCATCACTTAAAACAATGAAAAATCCCACACATAAAGTAATAACATTCTAGTCAAATTGTCTGTTTTTATTTACCGAGGTTTTAAAATACAACTTCAAACTTTACTACAAGGGAGGTGACAGGGATTTTGTTTGTGTTGCTCAAAACATTAAACATTTGTATTTGAAACAAGAAATATCTCTGGGACTCTGGGTAATCTACACAACACACTGTCAACAGTAGGGACTATTTCTTTGATAGAAAGGGTGACACAAGGTCATATATCACACTGTATATGTCCTTATGGGATATGAGTATGGATCCCATATTTCCCGCTGAGGGTCACAGACAAAGGAGCTTCTGCTCTGTATGTGATCTGTGGTGGATTATAGCAGCATGCTGAGGCAGTGTGGCCTGAATGCCCCGAGGCCACAGGCCAGATAACAAGCGGAACAGTAACTGTTGACTGTTTGATTAGAGGGCCACAGTCACCAGAAGGGGCTGTTGGCATGTTGGGAGCTGGGATTAGTCCGAGACTTCTCGGGGGGGGGGGGGGGGGGGGGGGGGGGGGGACGTGTGCAATTAGCCCCAAGGTTACTCCTGCTGTGTTACACTGACTGTAACACAGTAGCAACTTGGTATTTTAGGGAATGACTGAAATGAAAAATGAAAAACATTATATGCAAAGTTTACATTTTTGCATTTTATAGGTTTTCAGCATTTCTTTCCACTGAACAGTAAAATGAAACAGAATTCAGTGAATAATAGATCATTCTGTCTGCAGCCACAAGTCAGCCCGTCTCTGAGTTTAGGAAGGATGTCCATCCATCCATTAGCTACACCGCTTATCTGGAGCTAATCCCAGCTGACACTGGGCGAGAGGTGAGGAACACCCTGGACCAGTCTATCACAGAGCAGACATACAGAGACACACACAATGCAGGTAGCGTTGCCAGTTAACCTGCGTGTCTCTGGACTGTGAGAGGAGGCCGGAGTGCCCAGAGACCACCCACCACAGCCACGAGGAGAACGTCTGCCTCTGTAAAGGATGTTTTCTCTATTACCTCTGTTAAAGTGGGATTAACACCAACATCTAGAGACTAGTTTCTACTTGAACAGAAGTCCAGAGAAACTGAGCTCCATCAAAAATCTTAAAATCTTCAGTATGAACTCAGTCACTCTGGCGAAAAGTTAAATGTCTGGGGTAAACGTGGTGAAAATGACATCTGACAACTGACAACTGTTCTTCACAGAACCAGAGGTATCCTGACACCTGAGGCTGTGGCTTGACATTTTACCCACATACTGTATCCTGAGTGATTTTGTGGTGATGCTGGACTTGATTTATTGATCCTGTGTACATGTGGTCCAGGTCTATGTTCAAAGCCAGATTAGGATCCATGTTTAGAAGCTAGACGTTGTCCAGGACAACCAGATCATTACAAATGATCTAGGATGAAGACGTTTTCCAACAAGCTGCAATAGGTAAAGAAGCAGGTAAAATATATGAAAGGTAAAGAAAAGTTATTTCAAAGCTAATCAACATTCCCAGGTAAAAACACATCAGCCAGATCAGTAATAATATTCCCAGGTGTATCCCAGGAGAGACAGTGCCACGTGGGATGAGGTTTCTGACTGAATGTGCTGGGAGTTCAGGTGAGGAGGTGGGGGTGTTACCGAATGATGGTTTGGCCTTGGCACAGGGACTTTTACCTAGCTGAGGGAGAAGAAGAAGTGAGGGGAGGGGGGTAGGTTTGGAAAAGAGTGTTAGGTAGAGCAAGAGGAAGTTAGGAAGGGAAGGTATTTAGGAAACAGGACATAAAGGAGACAAAGATAAAATGCTGGACAGTAACATGTGCTCAGTACTTCCTTATATGTTGCCACTACTTTACAATAAAGCATTTGCCCAATAAACCATGAAATATGTCAAAGGTCAAGAGGCGGATCTGCTCTGGGGGTAGGAATCATTTTAGAGATGCCACTGGCTCAGAGCCCGTCAGACAAATGACTGAGCCTGAGGACGGTCGGGACAACATGGATGTCCTACATTTCAAAATCAGTCCATGACTAAAAATATTTTTAGGCCTGAACTCTTTGCTCTGGATCTGCTTTTCTTTTGTTGCTTGTGTCACTATTGGATCATTTCACCAAAGGACTGCAGGTGAACATTAGCCAGCTGGCTAACACTGCTGCATTTACACAAATGTGGGTTAATGTGCTTTGTCTTTATAAGTAATTAAATGACAGTGAAATGAGATTGTAGAATTTTCTACCTTTGTGTTGTGACACTAGGTTTTTAAACCCGCATCAATTTGTTTTGGGCCACTTGAAGGCAGCTGGGTATTTTCCACTCTGTATGATAATATCACATTTACAGTAAATTATGGATATTATATTATCAGCCAATGTTTTTGGAGTGAAAATATACTGTATGGTGTGTCATTTTGCAAACATTTACTCAGAATCAAATAAATTAAATTAAATATGCTTGGTATGGAAACCTTTAGGATCCACACTACAATTTAAAAAGACAATGGTTTGTAATAAGACACATTAGAGGAGGTTATCCCCTGTCTTCTAACTGCTGTCTGAAATTATTAGCTGTGCTCACACCTAAACTGTTTCTGTAAAAACCTTTTTATAATTTTACTGATCACTTCTTCTCTTTGTCTTTCAAAACGAAATTTTTATCTAGAAAGTTTGTTGCCTGTCTATAGAGGTATACCAAGTGGAACTGACTATTGAGGCAGTGGTTGGTGAGCACCATAGAAGAGAATATAGTGGAGAACAGGCTCTAACATGTTCATTTTCTCTGTATGAACAAACTTGAATGTGTGTGAATATGAATTACTCACGTTTTTGTCAATATGTTTCTCTGTTTTATATCGAATCAGATCTTTATTTTCATCTGCGTCTCATCCAGTTATTAAAAAAACAAAGAGAAGTGATCCAGTCCGGCCTGATGAGCAGACTGTTTATTGACTTGCATTTTCTCACTGATGAA